AAGTGACGGCGCTTCGCTGCCCCGTCGACCCGGTTCAACGGGACGTCGGTGCGGTGACGTCACTGGAGTGCAATAGGGTTGCGGATTTAAACAGTCTCGTTCAATATCCCATGGACCTGTTATGTTTGCCACTATCAAAATTTATTTTTAAAAAGAATAGGCTTTATACTTTGGGGCAATAAACCAGGAAGTGTGAAGATGTCCCAAACACCAAATCGATACATTTGGCAAGGCATCAAGTCTGCGTTCACCACACACGCGACTTGTGGCAAAAGTGTTTCAGTTTCCGACCTTTAGTTGGACAGCCCAGGGACTCGAGCGTGGTCGGCATGGACCCTCGTGAAGGGAATTAAATGCCCCCCGCCCCCTCCAACCCCTCACGCCCCCACCAGGCTCCCTCCTCTCCTATACCCCTGTCCCCCCCCCGCGGACGCCTAGGTCCCCCCACTTTGGCACGTGGGCTCCCAGTGCAGTTGCACCGCCTGCGCACTCGATCGTAGAGCTGCCACTCCACTTCGCGGCGACAAGATACGAGCCGATGTTGCCGGTTTAGGATCGCGTCGGGAATGATTTAACGAACCAGACCGCTGTGTTCTCTCTAGCCCAGCCAGCTGGGTTACCCTGCCCCTAACAGTAATGCGACTTGAATCATGATCGTTGAGTTCAATTGCCCAGGGTGAGTGCTGCGTAATACGCCAAGCAACAGCATCAGCCACACGCGCGTCTTCATCGTCAACTTTGCGGGGGTTGCGCTCGTGTGCTGCTGATGATGTGCAACTCTCCCGCTTGGTGTCGGGTTCAGCCGCAGAGGCTTGTCCAGCGCGATGTCCGACGTTTCGCTCCACGTTGGCAGGAGCTTCTTCGGTTGCTGGTTGAAGAGCGAACGCCAGGCGATGAACACCGTGGAGGTGTGTGGGGGTGAGGGGTGTTCGTGTTCGGGACGGACGTGTTCGTGTTAGGATCGGGGTTAGGGACTGGTTACTGGCAGATTCTTCGGGTTCGTACGTGCACGAAGGAGCTGCCCGTACCTGGAGCGAAACGTCGGACATCGTGGCGAACAACCCGAATCCAAGTCGGAAAGCTCGGACGACAACAGCAACCACCCGCGGAGTTCGGAAGCGCTGCGTTAAAACTGGAGTGAGACTTTGTTGTTGTTATTTATTTTCTAAATGACGATTGTTGTTGTCAACAACGACGATGGGCGTCTTGCGGGGTGTCTCGAGCCCCGTGCAAGGTGCGGCTACTCGCGGGCACCCAAGTCCACTCCACGTCAACGTCCGCAGGGCCCCCTAGGCGTGGCGTCACTGTCTGTGTTGAAAGCCGAATAAATGAACCATCAGCCGTGCGCGTGAGTCTGTTTCCACGATCACCACCACAACCAAAGATAAAGATGCCTCCTATAGCCTTAACAGCAAGTGCTGTTATCGAGCACGTATGAAGGCCAGAACGGCACACGAGGGGGTGGGTGGCCAGCACCACGCCAAGCTGCCTTTGTCTCTCTAGTGGCGACGTTTTCACGCACCGCACCAGGTGCCCATTTAAGGCTGAGTCGACCTAGGGGTGGCCCAGAACGAAAACAAACTCCACCTTCATCACGACCACCGCAACCTCCACCTTCATCACGACCACCACCACAACCAACACAAATACCCGCCATTCGCCACCAAGTGACAGTGACATCACCACGGCGCCTGTGCCAGGCTAGGTGCACTTTGAGGCCACGTGAAGTGTCGAAGGCTCGCTGACAGGTCCCGGGACAGACCCGGGTGCCATGAGCTGGCTGACTGAGATGACTGGGAACCAGCTGTACCCACCACTGTGCCAACTTGCTGAATGTTATCCGCCCGGCGCTCCGCTCGTTGTTGTGAGCGTCGCTCCTCTGCCCTCAGTTGTTGTTGGAGGGCGACTGCCTCCGACTGCCCAGTAGCATCCTTCACAAGCCTCCTCCACCTTCACCGCCAATACCACCACCACATCCACCATCATCACCACCCTCCGCTCCCATGCACCACTCCATCCAATCCCCCCCCTCCCAAACCCCCGACCCCCACCACCTCCACCTCTCCACCCCGGGCCCCCGGTCCCTAATCTTCTGCGCGCAGGTGCGCTCTGGGTAATGGAACGGGGCGCTTGGTCCGGGCCGTGATAATCGGGCCTCGGCAGAAGCTTCGAACCGGGGTGGGGGGGGAGCTGTGGGGGCGGGGTGCCGAGGGGGGAGCTGGAGGGCCTTTCTGAGGCTGCAAGATAAAGTCACGGGGACTTAGCGCAGCCGAACGAGACGGCCCAACCCGCGTGTTTATTTGCGATGCGGAGTGCCTGTGTGTCTGTGTGTGTGTCTGTGTGTGTGTCTGTGTGTGCATGCCTGTGTGTGTGTCGGTGTGTGAGTGTCTGTGTCTGTATCTGTGTGTGTGTCTGTGTGTGTGTGTGTCGGTGTGTGTGTCTGTCTGTGTGTCGGTGTGTGTCTGTGTGTGTGTGTCTGTATCTGTGTGTGTGCCGGTGTGTGTGTATTTCTGGGGAGCGGTGGTGCAGCGGTTAGCGCGCTGCTGCGCTACGAATCTGGAGACCAGAGTTCGATTCCCGCTCACGGCCAACACCAGTGACGAATATCTGAACCGGTTTTGGGCCTCACCTAGGTCGACTCAGCCTCAAATGAGTACCTGGTGCGATGTGTAAAGATCACCACTGTGGAGACAAAGCCGGTCGGACGTGCGCCGTGGCAGCCTTCATAGGTGCTGCTCGCTAACAGCACTTGGCAAAACAATATATGAAACCTATACGGGGGACCTTTATATTTGTCTTGTGTGTTTCTGTGTGTGTGTGTCTTCGTGCGTGTGTGTGTCTGTCTAAGGATACAAAGGCGACATGGTACTGGCCACACCACCTGTCCCCCCTGTCCCGTACCGGCCTTAATAGGTGCTCGCTAAAAGCATTTGCCCCAACAGTCACTTAATACAACACGGGGGATTTTCCTCCTTGTATATGTGGGGAGCGGTGGTGCAGCGTTTAGCGCGCTGCGAATCGAACCCGGCCACCAGAGTTTGATCAGCGAATACGGCTAACATCGGTGGCGAATTTCTGAATCGGTCCCGGTCTTCGTCCTAAAGGGAGCAATCGAGCGTGCGGTGTGTTAAAACATCATCGCTGGGAAGACAAAGACGGCCAGGCGTGGTGCTGGCCACCCACCCCCTCGTGTGCCGTGCCGCCTGACATAGGCGCTCGCGAACAGCACTTGTCAGAACAGTCTATTAAGGCTATACGGGTGATCATTATCTTTGTGAATGCGTGTGCGCGCGATGTGTGTGTGTGTATTGTCGCGTTTGGGTGAGCCTGTGCGTGTAGTGTGTGTACCTGTGTGTGTATGCGTGTGGGTCTACGAGTATGTGCGTGAGTGCGTGTGTGTGTGTATCTGGTTCTGGGCCTCCCCTAGGTCGACTCAGCCTAAGGTGAGCATCCAGCGTACGGTGTATTTAGACATCAGCACTGGGAGAGACAAAGGCGGCCGGGCGTGGTGCTGGCCACCCAATCCTTCGTGCGCCGTGCCGGCCTTCATAGGTGCTACTCGCTAACAACACTTGCCCCAACAGTCTGGCGAAGGCTATACGGGGAATCTTTGTTTCTGTGTGTGTGAGATTGAGAATGTGTGTGTGAGTGACTGTGTGTGTGAGAGTGTGTGAGATTGAGAATGTGTGTGTGTGAGAGTGTGTGAGTGTGTGTGTGAGAGTGTGTGAGTGTGTGTGTGAGAGTGTGTGAGAGTGTGTGAGTGTGTGTGTGTGAGAGTGTGTGAGTGTGTGTGTGAGAGTGTGTGAGAGTGTGTGTGAGTGTGTGTGAGTGTGTGTGACTGTGAGAGTGTGTGAGAGTGTGTGTGTGAGAGTGTGTGAGTGTGTGTGAGAGTTTGTGTGTGTGAGAGTGTGTGTGAGTGTGTGTGAGAGTGTGTGTGAGAGTGTGTGAGTGTGTGTGTGAGAGTTTGTGTGTGTGAGAGTGTGTGTGTGTGTGAGAGTGTGTGTGAGAGTGTGTGTGAGAGTGCGTGTGTGAGAGAGTGTGTTTGAGAGTGTGTGTGCGTGAGTGTGCGTGTGTGTGTGTAAGTGTGTGAGAGTGTGTGTGAGTGAGAATGTGTGAGAGTGTTTGTGTGAGTGTGTGTGTGAGAGTGTGTTTGAGAGTGTGTGTGTGTGAGAGTGTGTGAGAGTGTGTGTGTGAGTGTGTGTGTGAGAGTGTGTGTGAGAGTGCGTGTGTGTGTGAGAGAGTGTGTGAGAGAGTGTGTGTGTGAGAGTGCGTGTGTGTGAGAGATTGTGTGTGTGTGTGTGTGAGGGTGTGTGTGTGTGTGAGAGTGTGTGAGAGTGTTCGTGTGTGAGAGTGTGTGAGAGAGTGTGAGAGTGTGTGTGAGAGTGCGTGTGTGTGTGAGAGAGTGTGTTTGAGAGTGTGTGTGTGTGAGAGTGTGAGAGAGTGAGTGTGAGAGTGTGCGTGTGTGTGAGTGTGTGTGTGTGAGTGTGTGTGAGAGTGCGTGTGTGTGTGTGAGAGAGTGTGTTTGAGAGTGTGTGTTTGAGAGAGTGTGTTTGAGAGTGTGCGTGTGTGTGTGAGAGAGTGTGTGAGAGAGTGCGTGTGTGTGCGTGTGTGTGAGTGCGTGTGTCTCTGCGTGTTATTAATTGTTCTCTTTGATCGCCATTGAGGCGCGTGACAGTGAGTGGTGTGCGGGAAGGCGGGGATAGTGGAGGCGAAGCTGCGTGCAGCTGATAAACTCTGGAGACGGGGGGCGGCGGGGGGGGGTCTGGTGGGTTGTGGGGGGGGGCTCGGAGGGGGCGACTGGGGGAGTGGGGGAGGCAGGGAGAAGTCGCCGGTGCGGACATTCACGCGGCGTAGCGCACGCAGATACACGGCGCGTACAGACGCGGTGTGCGGTGGTCGGTGTCCACACGACGCAACAACGACTGTCGCTCGACACTCGGTGGTGGTGACGTCACCACGACGCTTGTGCCAGGCTGGGTGCACGTGCCTGACTGAGATGATTGGCAGATGCGCCGCCGGTGCCACCTCGCTGCGTCTTCGCCCGCCCGGCGTTTTCGAGCGTCGCTCCTCTGCATATAAACAAAAGATCCCCCCGGATAACCTCAACGGACTGTTGGGTCAAGAGCTGTTTAGGAACACTTATGAAGGCCGGCACTGCACACGAGGGGGTGGGTGGCCAACACCACGCCCGGCCGCCTTTGTCTCCGCAGTGCTCATGATTAAGGCTGGATTAAGGCAATGCGAACATACATATACAATTTAACACGGGCACACACTCACACAATACACCAGCATAACAACACGCGCACACTCTACGCACGTACATACACACACGCTCTAACACACGCACACACGTACACAGGCACACGCGAACACACGCACACACGTGCATACACACACGCACAGTCTAACCCACGCACACTCCAACACACGCATACTGCAACACACACACGCTAACACACGCACACACTAAGACACGCACACACTAACACACGCACACACTAACACACGCACACGCGTAGCACCAAGGGGGCTCAAGAGCTCACACCGCTAATGAATTTGGAGGAGACGATAACGAGGAATCTCACCCCATTATTCGCCTCCAGCCCTCACCCCCACATTGTCAACCACCAGCCCAGCCTCCACAGCCCCCGCTACCACCACCACCACCACCGCCCCTCCAGACTCACACACTCTCACATTCTCTCACACACTCACACATACTCACGCAGGCTCACACAACACAACGATACCACGAAAAGCATTAGCAGGGGCAAGCGCTGTTAGCACCCATGAAGGCCGGCACGGCACACGCGGGCATGGGGTGACCAGAACCACGCCCGGCCGCCTTTGTCTCCCAAAGTGCTGACGTTTACACGCCGAGCCAGAAACACATTTTTAAGGCTGAGTCGAACTAGGGCAGGACCAGCACCGGCTCAAATAAATACATATTCGCCACTTGCAATTGGTTGTGGGAATCTAATTCGGCTCGCTGCGTTCGTAGCGCAGTGCGCTAACCACTGCACGACTGCTCTCCACTATAAACCACATCTATAAACAGTATACGGTGCAGTATAAACAGTATACAGTATACACACTAACACACATACATCAAATGCCATTTGCCACAAAGTGGCGGTGACATCGCCACGGCGCCTGTGCCAGGCAAGGTGCACTTTGAGGACACGTGAAGTGTCGAAGGCGCCCCGACAGGTCGCGGGACAGACCCAAAGTGCCATGGGGTTGACTGACCTAACTGGCAGATGCACCACCTGTGCCCCCTACTGTGTCAACTTGCTGCGTTTTAAAGGCGCACACATACCGTCATATATGGTCACACGTTGTTACGCATACTCATTCACCCACACAAGATCTCCCATGCACGCAACAAAGATCCACCGTATAGCCTTACCAGACTGTTGGGGCAAGTTCTGTTTGCAAGCACCTATGAAGGTCGGCACGGCACACGAGGGAGCACCACGCCCGGACGCATTTGTCTCCCTAGTGGCGATACAGTATTTACACATCGCATCAGATACTAATTTAGGCTGAGTCGACCTAGGGGAGGCCCAGCGTGCGATGTTTACACAACGCTTCCCCACACACACAAAACCCCCCGTATAGCCTTAATAGACTGCTTGGGCAATTGCTGATAGCGAGTAGCACCTATTCAGGCCGGAACGGCACACGAGGGGGTGGGTGGCCGGCACCACGCCCGACCGCCTTTGTCTCCCCAGTGGCGATGTTTACACACCGCAGCATTTGAGGCTGAGTCGACCTAGGGGAGTACTAGGACCGGTTCAGATCATCGTCACTGGTGTTGGCCGTGAGCGAGATTCGAACTCGGGACCCAGGTTCGTAGCGCAGCGCGCTAACCGCTACACTACCGCTCCCCACACACTCACCCATAAATAGACACAACATCTCTCACATGCACCTACTCACACTCTCAACAATCACCAACAGAGCCACCACCGCGTCGATCGTCACCACCAGGGCTGGACTGTACATGTACAAATTGCGCTGCTAATATTGAGTCTTCTCTTCCAAGAGGTTTGGGCAGCGTGAAAGAATAGGCCAAAGTATACTTTAGAGGGAGTCTCTATCGTGCAGGATATTCCGGCAGCAATGGCATGAGCGAGCAATTGCAGCGCTGCGTCTTTACCTTGGATTGTCGGTATGACAATTGGCGGCTTGGGAGTTAAAAACTAAACTAAACTAGAGCTGTTATAATTATTATTATACCAGATAAGATTCACTGTGCTGTATAGATTTTTTTCAGAAAAAACCTGGCCACAAATGACAGCTGGGCTTATCGCGCAAGTTGTTTCTAAATGTGGCGAGAAAACCCGGAGGTCCACACGACCACGGGACGAGTAGCATGCACACTCCAAATATACAGAAGGGGTCAGGGATCGGATCGAACCCACGACCTCTTGGATAGCAGGCGAGAGAGTTCACATCTCACCAGCGTGGCGCCTCTGTCACCCGTGTCATGGATCCAGCAATCCCTCTGGATGTGGCCGTCACGGATGCAATCCCTCAAATTTGGCACGGGACTCCTCTGAGTTCGCGGTTCGACTCGTGTTGCGGGTGAATATTTCATGAGAGCTGAATAATGGATGGGATGGATGTTGCTTGCTTGTCAGTTTCGTGGCCACGGCCACTCGGGCGAGCGTCTTGGCACAATTCACCGTGGGGCGATGCCGCCACCTGGCGGGGGCATTTCATATGAGGCCGATGATCGTGATCGGAATATTTACTTATTCTGCCAATTAAAACGGATGAAAAAAATACCCCGTTAAAAACTGAGTCATAAAATCATACAAAAATCCGTTCAAAACGAACTTTTTAAAATACAAAAACTAAAAAAAAATTAGGATCTTTAAAAAAATAAAAAAATCGTAAAAAAGGTAGGATCTTAACACATACAACCGTTAAGTGTTAGACTAAAGACAATACGTTAAATAACAAACATGTTTACACAAACCCACGCAAACAGTAACATTTTAACTTAAGAAGGGAGTATATGTTGTAAAATTATAGCAAATGTATAACAAATACGAACTAAAGAACTTAGCTTGGAGGCCGATCTTGACACTGCTGGTACCGGTCTTCAGCAAGTCCACTCAGCTGTGTTTGTTGTTGTTGTTGATGATGAGTCGCACCATGAAACGAAAGGATCATAGAAAGGAGACTGAGGAAGCTGATGGATATTGGCGAGAGTCAGTTTGGATTCAGACGGGGAAGGGAAACAATGGATTCGATCTTTGCACTGAGAGTATTGATGGAGAAGTTCAGAGAGAAGACACGGGGCCTGCGTGTGGTGTTCATTGATCTCGAGAAAGCGTAACCACAGGGTGTCTAGCGAGCTCACCTGGTGGTGCATGAGAAGAAGAGGAATCCCTGAGGTGTACGTCCGGCTGATCCAGGATCAGCGTGAACGAGGGAGAGTGCACGTGTGAAGCGGCTATGGGGTGTCGGGGGGCTTTCAAGTGAAATCCGGAGCGAGGTTCCGTCCTGAGCCCCTTCCTGTTCATCCTGGTGCTGGACACATTCACGAGAGAGACATGCAGAGGGAGCCCCACTGGTGGATGCTGTTTGCAGACGACATTGTGGCGATGCCGGTGGAAGCAGAGGGGGTAGTGGAAGAGGATTTGAAGATCTGGGTGCAAAAGATTGAAGGGAATGGGTTGAGGAGCAGTCGAGCGAAGACGGAGTACACGGTGGCAAGTTTCAGTGGAAATAATGCAGGAGATTGCTAATTGGAATTGACCAGTTCATGAAGACAAACGAGTTTAAGTTTACCGGGGTGCCACAACGTGTTGCTGTTGGGTCACTATGATGGATGAGAACAATAACAAGGGCTGGATGGCTGAAATGGAAAGAGATGACTGGTGTGGTGTGCGATAAGAGGGTCCCAGTTTGGTTGAAGGGAAAAGTGTATAGTGTATAGTGTAGTGTACAATGTAGTGTATAGTGTAGTGTATAGTGTAGTGTATAGTGTAGTGTACAATGTAGTGTGTAGTGTAGTGTATAGTGTAGTGTACAGTGTAGTGTATAGTGTAGTGTATAGTGTAGTGTACAATGTAGTGTATAGTGTAGTGTATAGTACAAGACGGTGGTGAAGCCGGTGCTGTTGTATGGGGCCGAGTGATGGGGTACAAGAAAGAGGGAAGGCAATCTACGTCAGTCACAGAGATGAGGATGTTGGGTTTAACAAGGAAGAACAGGGTGAGAAATGAAGACGTGACAGGAAGGCTCAAGGTGGTAAAATTCACGGAGAAAATGAGCGAGAAAAGGCTGGTGTCGTGCGGTCACGTGGAGAGACAACAGGAAAATTACGTGGGTCAGAAGGTGCAAGTGACGCAAGTGGAAAGTGATGAAGAGGAAGGCAGAAGAAGAGGTGGAGGGGGGCGATGTGGTGCGATCGGACACGGTGGCCCGAGGAGCGGAAAGAGAGATGGCGCAGGACGTGGCAGCGTGGAGAATGTTGGCAAGGGCAGCGGACACCCCCACGTGAGTGGGACAAACGCGTGGAAGAAGAAGTTGTTGCTGGTGGTCATAGTGTTGTTGGTATTGGTGTGGTGTTGTTTTGAAGGCGCTGCCACGGTCTTTGTAGAGTCATCAGCAGTCATATTTGCTTCAACCAATACTATTGCCCTGCCAGGTGTTCAAAGGCAAGGGCCCTCTCGATTGCTGAAATTGTGCACTCCCAGAAAGCAGGCCGGTGTGGCTGACGAGATGTGTAAAATCATTGTATTTTCAAATTGGCGGGACAGATTGCCTCGTTGTTTCCTCGACTATTGTTGTATTTTCTCCATCAGTCTCCATGGTTTATACCCGTATGTCAAAGAAGAAGAAGAAGCTGTTACAGCACCACCGCGAAAGCCGTCCGCTCAGTGCGGTCGATGCATCTCGTTGTTTTCACGGGTTTCTTTTCCGAATCCCAGTTTTGGCCAGAAACACCGCGAAAACAATTGTGGCAAATTTACGAACCCAGTGTTTTTTGTCCCGAATCACCGAGTGATACCGGTGATACTGCTGCTGCGTTGGCAAGTAGTGCACAAGAAACAACACCAACACTCTCAACACAATGGGCTTAAAGTGAAAAAATATATATTAAATAGGCGACGTTTCGGGAAATGGCCTTTCTTCATAGCACACGTGCTATTACGGCCACACAGTGGTATTGGCTCATGTGTTAGACTTCTATACAGAATGGATCCCCGTGTTGTCCTAAATCTAAACTAATAACAAGGATCCGTATTGTCCTTGATTGGGTTTCCAAATCTCTCGTTTTTTTGTATAGTTTGTTGTGGTAACGATCTGACGCGGCCCTACTGGACATCTGTTAAAATAGCTTAATAGCTCATCGGATTCCTCCAGTGTAAGTAAACAGTCTGATTCTGATAATTGCTAGAATACGCGCTGTGCTAATTCGAGTGAAAAGCTTGGAGATTCGTATGATGGATGGAGGAATAAAGAACATGCTTTAATATTGTGAACGTCCGTAATATTTTGTTCACATTGAATGGATTTCGGACGCAGTGATTGGGAATACGTTATAGTATTGTATTACACTTTGTGGCCAGCAGACGGCAGTCCCGCACATATACTGGACTATAATTGTTGTACGGCACTGCTGTGCTTCCCACCTTCACGAACCCCAGTGTGGTGTCAAATAACCCCCACGACTCAGCACGGCGTGGCAGGGGGAGGGCGTGCATCCAGCAGTGGATTTACAAATCACTGTTTTGTCTCACCCATCACAACTGTGTTCAACAACCACACGTGTGCAGATCACAACAAGCACACTAACAAACTCACTCACCCACCCACTCACCACACTGCAGATCACAACACACTAACAAACTCACTCACCCACCCACTCACCACACTACAAGTCACAACAAGCACACTCACCCACTCACTCACCCACCCACTCACCACACTGCAGGTCACAACAAGCACACTAACAAACTCACCCACCCACTCACCACACTGCAGGTCACAACAAGCACACTAACAAACTCACCCACCCACCCACTCACCACACTGCAGGTCACAACAAGCACACTAACAAACTCACTCACCCACCCACTCACCACACTACAGATCACAACACACTAACAAACTCACTCACCCACCCACTCACCACACTACAGGTCACAACAAGCACACTAACAAACTCACTCACCCACCCACTCACCACACTACAGGTCACAACAAGCACACTAACAAACTCACTCACCCACCCACTCACCACACTACAGGTCACAACAAGCACACTAACAAACTCACTCACCCACCCACTCACCACACTGCAGGTCACAACAAGCACACTAACAAACTCACTCACCCACCCACTCACCACACTACAGGTCACAACAAGCACACTAACAAACTCACTCACCCACCCACTCACCACACTGCAGGTCACAACAAGCACACTAACAAACTCACTCACCCACCCACTCACCACACTGCAGATCACAACACACTAACAAACTCAATCACCCACCCACTCACCACACTGCAAGTCACAACAAGCACACTCACCCACTCACTCACCCACCCACTCACCACACTACAGATCACAACACACTAACAAACTCAATCACCCACCCACTCACCACACTGCAAGTCACAACAAGCACACTCACCCACTCACTCACCCACCCACTCACCACACTACAGATCAACTGTCTTCTCTTGTTGCTTCCTCCCTACGTCTCTCGTCTACACAAGCTCTTGTGATAAATAACCTTGCTGAATCCAGGAAGTGCGTGCCACTCTTATCTATTGCAACTTCGTTAGTGCCGCATGTTGCTGGCTGCTAGATGTTTTTGGTATTTTGCTCAGCAACTGTGTACAAAAAAACCGTTCCACCCCAGGTACTACTGCTTTCTGCAGTGACCCATGGCTCCTACCATCTGGGAATTGCCCAGTGAGATTGGAACGTTGGGAAAAGGTTGGGCCAACATCGGTCCAACCAAAATGCCAACGTTGACCCAACATTGCATGTTCACCGAGAGAGGACTTGTGTTTAGTGTTTGCCCCAGGGTCTGTTGTATATATAAGAGCCTTCTGATCTCAATGTCTCTCACCTCAGGAGGATTCAGGTTAATGATGCGGAGCTCTCGGGCATACAGGCGGTGCAACTCTGCGAGGACTTCAACAGCCAGATGAGGCCCGGGCTCGGGGCGACTAAAGAATCGGGTACATTGGAGATAGGAATCCCAATTAAAATGCCTTGCACCAGGGCCCGTGCCAAAACTTTCTCGCTGCAGAATAGATAATATAAAAACACCTAAAGTATTTCTTGCACATTCCATCAGCTCCACAGCCTTCTGGGAGCGCACACTCTCAGCAGCATGGGCTCAGTCCAAGCAAACCTCTCGACCAGTTTCGGTATTCAGTATCTCGCCAGCACGGTCAGCCTCGCTTGAATCGATGCTGGCGAATTGGGGAAACGTTATAGGGACCGTCTCCTGAAGACATGGGTCCCAGTTCGATGCAACATTGTAAAATAATCAACTCAACATATCACGCTGCCGAGGTCTCCATCGACACACAAATCAGCCCTCGGAGACAGGGTTGACGGGGGGACACGTGGGGAATGGAGGAGTGAGGATGGAGTGGATTATCGGGAAATTGTGGATAAGACGTGATTTGGAGGATGGGAGAGAGATGGTGGAGGAGGAGGGTGATGACAGAGAGCCGTGGTGAATGGGAATGACGGAGTGGGTGACGATGGAAGATAAAACATAAATACAACGTCAGGCCCACTGATCAAGGTAGTGCTTTTTTAGAAGCGACCTGGCCACAAATGATATCTCAGCGAAGCAAGTTATCGTGTGGCAATTTATAGCAGCCAGACACTCTAAACGCGTGATGTTGATTCTAAATGTGGTAGGAAAACCCGGAGGACCCGGAAAAAATCCCATGCGACCACGGGGAGAGATACAATCAAATTCCAAACATACAAACAGGCGTCAGGGTCGGGATGGAGCCCACGACCTCCTGCGCACCAGGCGAGGTAGTTAACGTCTCGCCACCGCGGCACCGCAGGCAAGCGATGGAGGCGGTGTGATCATGCTGCCGATGAGGGCATCTGACAGAGGGAGACTGTGGAGGGGAACTTGAAGGACAACAGCGAGAGAGAGCTGGCAAGTGTTTAATATCTCCCCTGGTATACAGGAGGTCGTAGGTTTGATCCTGATCCTGACCCTGACGCCTGTGTGGTTTGGAGTTTGCGTGTCTCTCTCCCCTTGGTCGCGTGGATTTGTCTCCGAGTCCACATTGAGAATCAACATCACGAGTTCAGAGTGTCTGGCCGCTATAAATGTCCACGTGATAAGTCCCCAACTTCGTTGAGCTCTCATTTGTGATGGCCAAGTCACTTCACCAAAAAACGATCTCTTAAGTTCAGTGGGGCCTCACGTGGTCAAACTAAAACAAAGTTGACGTCGTGAGTTTGTCCTGTCATGCCGCGTGGGTCGTGAGCGTTGTTTGACCACTCGTCGAGTTGATACACCAGTGGGGCTTTGCCTGGTAGGATGGGAATGGTTCAGTTGTATTTGTTTGTGTTTGTGAGATTTGTTTACCTTTCTTGTAACTTTGCACTACTCTCGTGTTTGTGTAATGTTTGCTGTTGTGACGTTCTTACCCCCGTATAAATATTGTGATTCTGAGGAGTGCGGGTTGTTGAACGTGTGGAGCACAGACGCGGCAGCGTAGAAGTGCATTACAACAACGGGGTTTTGTGGGCCAGTTGTTCAGGAGTATTTGGCTGCTGTACATGTCCACACGATAAGCAGTTGTTGAGCTTTCATTCGCGATGCCCAGGTCGCTTCTGATAAAGAGCTGCGTAGCTCAGTTGGGGCCTTACCTGGTAAGCTTTAAAGCTATATCTATAGTTCATAGTTTATTATTTATAGTTCACAGGATGTTGCAGGATGATGATGGAGGAGGAGGAGGAGGATGGAGGAGGGGGACGTAGCGAGGTCGTTGGGGCGGAGGAGTCTCCCCCCCCGCGCCCGTCGCCATGGAGATTCGCGTGACGCGCCCCGCAGATCCGGGCTCGGGGCTCCCAGCCCCGGGAGGTTGGGGGAGACACGGAGACATCGCGGGGAGACACGGGGACACCTCAGGGAGACACCGCGGGGAGACATCAGGGAGACACCGCGGGGAGACACGGGGAGACAGGGAGACACCGCGGGGAGACACGGGGAGACACGGAGACACGGGGAGAGACCGCAGGGAGACACGGGGAGACACGGAGACACCGCAGGGAGACACGGAGACACGGGGAGACACAAGGAGACACGGGGAGACACGGAGACACCGCAGGGAGACACAGGGGGACACCGCAGGGAGACGCGGGGTTTGTGGGCTGGGCGTGTTACGGAGCGAGACGGGGAGACGGGTAATCGTCCACGCCGGAGACGCGGGTTCACTCACGGGACACGGGGTGGAGCAGGAGGTGACTTGGCGCTCCTGGCATCACCCTAAACTCCTCCTCCTCATCCTCCTCCACCACCACCTCCACCTGCACCTGCAGGGATCTCCCACTCGTGAGGAGCTCGCGGGTGGGAGAAGGCAGCCCGCTGAGACGAGGCTGAGGAGGGCTGAGGTTGAGCAAGCTGCAGGAGCCGTGCGACAGGGAGGTGGAGGAGGTGGAGGAGGAGTTGGAGTGAGTTGAGGAGGAGGAGGTAGCGAGGAGGGGGTGCTTGAGGAGGTTGCGAACGCGAAACGTTGAGCGAGCTCAGGAGGAGGTCGCGGGAGAAGGAGGGAGATTGACGAGGGGAGTGGGGGGGGGGATTGAGGAGCAGCCCCGGGGGGGTTGTTGAGGAGGGTTGAGACGACGGCAAGAGGCTGATGTAGCCGAGAAGCTGGAGTCAACGTCTTGAGGCGTTGGAGGTTGAGGAAGCTGGGGGAGGAGAGGCCGACGAGGTTGAGGAGGAGGTTGAGGAGGAGGCTGACGAGGTTGAGGAGGAGGTTGAGGAGGAGGCTGACGAGGCCGACGAGGTTGAGGAGGAGGCCGACGAGGTTGAGGAGGAGGAGGAGGCCGCCGGGCATGGAGGGCCGTGCGGGCTGGTGTGGCCGTGCCCGTGGCTGCTGCTCCGCGAGCCCCGAGGCGGCCGAGAGGCGCATCGTGGAGGCCCTCCTCGCCTGCAGCGGGGGGGCCGCGGGCGACGAGGAGCAGGAGGAGGACGAGGAGGAGGAGGCGGCGGCGAGGGCGAGGGGAGCCTGGGCTGAAGAGGTGGGAGAGCTGCTTGTGCCGTCAACGCACCGCGCGCCGACTGAGCGTGAGCCAAGATGACGGCGTGGAGCGGTGCCGGATTATCCTCGTAGCAAAAGTAGCTACACGTGTAGTAGTAGTAGCTGCTACACGTGTAGTAGCTGCTACACGTGTAGCAGCTACTACACAAGTTGCTACTACACGTGTCGCTACTACATGTTGCTACTACACAAGTAGCTGCTACACGTGTAGCAGCTACTACACAAGTTGCTACTACACGTGTAGCTACTACATGTTTCTACTACACAAGTAGCTGCTACACGTGTAGTAGCTACTACACGTGTAGTAGTAGCTGCTGCTACACATGTTGCTACTACACAAGTAGCTGCTACATATGTAGTATCTACTACACACGTAGCTACTACACATGTAGCTACTACACAAGTATCTACTACATATGTAGTAGATACTTGTGTAGCTACTACACAAGTAGCTACTACATGTGTAGTTGCTACGGGCCCCGCGCTAAATGCTTTCAAGCTATCAATTCCGGTTCAGTGATTCTGCACTTGCTCTATTACTATAGTACTATAATGCCTTCGACTACGAACGACTGGGTGTTTAAGGTTAGCGATTTGTCGTATTATCTGGCTGTGTAGCAAATGAAAACATACAATTACTTTACTGTGCAAGTAAAAAAATGCGTGTTTTAATATTCGTGTTTTTAGGGCCCCTTTATGACACATGCGACCAGCACCGCGTAGGGGTTGGCCACCCATCCAGCCAGATCGTGGACTGGCTGCCGGTATGGAGTGCGCGACCGTGTGCACGAGTTTATTGAGCGGTAACTGTGGAGAGATTCGGGGGTTGTTGGATGTGGGTGCCCCTAGTGATTTGTAACCGGAGATCTGGGTCATCGTGCATGGGCACCCAGAAGGGATGGAATTTGAATGATGGTGCCATCACTGTCATTGCTGTTCCGTGTGTGTGTTGATCGAGGCGGGGGAGCATAGACGTGGGGGCATAGTGTAGTACAATGGAGTTCGCTGCACTGCCCACAAGTTATGCCGCACAAGGCAATTAGCCAGCCAGATTTTCGTGCCTTAGAAGCAGCGCACTCAGAGCAATTGTTTGAGTCCATCATCCATGCGTCCTGTGATATTTGCGGCCGTTCGTCAGCATTGATTTAACCAAGCCTGACTGCTCCGTCGAAACCGCTCCAGTGTCGCTTGTCTTGAGATCAGTGCTGCTGAAATGACGCACTTTCAGCAGAACGCGTGCCGTGCCTGATGGGTTGTATAAGAAATTATTTTACAGCAAGTCGTCATGCAGAGAGGTGGACCGGTGAAGGAAACGTTTGTGGTGCTTATTTAAATCATCATCAAACGTGGGTCGACAGAATAGGTATCACTTTGTGGGAGGCCAAACAGCGATTAAAACTAATCAAATGTTTGTTATTTTACTAATACATTTTTTAAAAGAGCTATATAACTCAATGGACCTTACTTGGTATAATAAAAAGAAATAGTTTAAATAGTTTAATTTTCCCTCTTCCATGCCGTGTGGGTCGTGGGTGTTGTTTGACCAATCGTCGAGTTGATCATTGCGAGTTGTTGATCGTGTGGGAGCACAGACGCAGTCTGCGTCACACGACGTAGCCCTGCAACCTATAACACCTGTTGTGCATGGAGTATACTGTATTTGGGAGAAAATACAACGTAAATATTTCTACCAATCGCAGAACAATTGCGTAGGATGTCCCCGGTTGCGCTGCGTGACTCTCCGATGCGTTACCAGGTCGTGCCGCGCGCGTTGTTCGCCGTCATTGGCTACGTACGGTGCGAAAGAAGGTCAACATACGCACATTATGTCCGACGTTTTGCTCCACACGCTGGGAGTTTCTTCAGGAAGTGAAAACACAATGCACGCAGTCCAACCCGAAAACAAAACACATCCGAGAAGCAGACTCGGACTTTATTATTTTAGCTGCCCAAGGCCCCATTGAGCCACGCAGCTCCATTTACTCCACCGACAGCCACAGCCCAAGACCCATCGGCTGTGGCCGCAGCTACAGCACCTTGCAGGGTGGACGGAATGTGTAACCAAGAGCAAAAACAACAAGTTATTATTGACACAAAACCCATGCCAAAACTTACTGCAAACCAGATAAACAACACAAAGTGCTTACATTAAAGCAAGCCTAGGACTCGTGCGTCATTGTTTTTGTTGTGATTGTCGTGGTTGTTCCTGTGATTGTTGTGGTTATGATTGTTGTGGTGGTTGTTGTTGCTGTGATTGTTGTGGTTGTCGTTTCTGTGATTGTTATTATTGTCATCATACTGCAGGTTCACGGCTGGCGCCGCTCCGCTCCCTACTCCCTGCCGACTCCGAACTCCGCGCGTCGCCGCGGCGCCACCGGCCCGTCCACTGCGCCCGCCCGTGGGTCCGCCGCGACCTTCCGACATGGCACTCCGGGCCGGCCAGCGGCCGCTCGGCGAGCGGCCCGGGAGAGTGGCGGCCCGGGAGCGGCGCGGGAGACCTGGGACTTGGCCGCAGAGCCGGGGGCCCGGCTCGCGACGCTTCAGCAGACCGCGTGGGGCAGATGGACGGGGGATAAGTGGACAACACGGATGGTCCACAGCGAGGGTTCGTCTCCACGGGGCTGCTACCCTGATCCCAATGAGCAGGATGAGGAGGAGAAGGATGGTGAGCAGGATGAGGAGGAGGAGCATGAGGAGGTGGAGGCACGAGGGGAGGTGGAGGAGCTCTGCTCGGCCGCGTCTCGGCTGCACGTGGCCCCGCGCGCTCTCGTCAGGGACGAGGACTGCGCCACGTCGACCGATGAGCGGAATGAGGATGGGCGAGGTGCGCACCACGGCCCCGTGCCGGAATCCGGCTCCAAAGCTGGCACAGCCCATGACAGCGACCAGGGGCCCGACTTGCCACCGTCGTTCAGCCTCTACTCCGTCTTGCCGCCGGTGAGGAGCGAGGCTCGCGGCTCTCTGGCCAATCCGGCGTCGGGGCTCTCCGACCCATGGCGGCACCTGGACGCGGACGTGCTCAAGATTGACAATTGCCGGCGTGTCGAGTCGGCACCGGCCGGGAGGGGGAGCGGCGGATTGAACTACGAGCCGCGCGGCCGCCGACGCTGGTGGAGCTCCAGGCAGCCCGCGGCAGGGAGGGCGGCCAGGAGGGCGACGGGATCGCGCGCTCACGAGCGAGCGGCCAGGGTGCGATGCGGGGTCGGGACTGCCGGCAGGAGGGGCGGACGAACGGGAAAGGATGTGGCGCAAAGGTCGGGTTCCGGCGGCGGGAGCGGTGGCGACGGTGGCGACGCGGAGAGCGTGGGGAACGTGCGGCGAGAGGGTTTTGAAACTCGGGATGAGCACAGGGCCGGGGGGCGCCTGCCGCTAGTGCAGGGATGCAAGGTCCGTATCCCCATGGTACCACACACACTGCTCTTGTGACTAAGACCAACAGAGTGAAAAAACAGCCGCTGTATCATCATCGTCACCGCCACCATCGTCATCATCTCATCATAAAATGCTCCCTGGGACCTGGATGCGTCTGAGCCATGGTATGGATCCCCACGTGGGACTTTCAACTAAAACCACGGTTGAGAGATGTTTATCGGACGGTGTTAAAGTGCACCGAGTGCAATCGAGGGACACGTGTTTACAGCGAGCCACTGCTCGACGCTTACCGAAAAAAATACCCGCGGGCACACTCAGCTTACACGCGGGCGGGTGCGACGACCTCACTGCCACGCCGACTCGCCTTTCATCGCTCCGGACTCATTAGCGCGTGCGGCTCCATTGACTGGGGTCATTAATCACGGCGGCGAGAGATCACGGGTCGCGGGATGTGGGTGTTGGCTTACGGTGGGCGTCGAGGTGAAGGGAGGGGGGGGGGGCATTACGATGTTCGCAGCTTGTAAGACGCAAAACACACCGCTGAGATGCGTAACGCTACGTGAGGTTCACCCAACTGACCACCGCGGGCCCCCTCCCACTCTCACGCAAAGTTTGTGGTATTCGTACCACAGCACCATTGTGTAACCCCCCCCCCCCTACCAAGGAATATTGGAATATTCGCTCCCGCCAGCGGACGTTTGTTGCCTTCAAAGAGGGCCGAGTGTTAAGGTCAGCTTAAGCGATATAAGCTGAGAAAAAAAACCCAGCTACATTGGCGAGGGCACAGTTAGGGCCAGATCGTATGAAAATGTTAAATGCTACTGAAAAAGTGCTAACTTTATAGAAATGCTGTAAAAAACGTGGCCTTAAAAAACAAGGTTTTACTTTGAAATACACGCGATTCCTTGTCTACAAAACCAAATAAGGGGGATAAAAATATTGGGAAGCGGAAATAATACTTTGTCCGCAACTTGTAATGCTGGATGGTCCTGGAGTGTCGATGCGGCGGTTCACGCATTGCACTGAACCCCGCGACCTCGAGTCAATTCCCAGCCACGGTGGCGAGTGACATCTGAACAGGTCCTGGGTTTCCTCCTCCTTCACCAACCTGCTCTTTCCATCGTGGTGAAGTATGGTCAAATTACCGCCATTACCGAGAAGGCGTGGGAAGGCATTCAGCAATGGATTGAATAGGGCTGTGCAATGACCTACTCCTTTCTACAGAACACAGAGCGGCAGAGCGATGGTGCAGTGGTCACACTTGTGTCAAAGCAATAAGGGCCTGGGTTCGATTCCCGCCTCGACAGCCTTTCATTGCGAAGTTCAATTTATTTTCCTCCTGTTCTGCGTGGATTTCCTCCAGGTTCCCCAGTTTCCTCCCATAGTTTAAAAACAAAACATCAAAACCCCATACAATGCAATCTTAATTTTAGAACTTTCGTGACTGCAGTAAATGATTATTTGGTTCTTTCGGTTAAGTCACGTCTAAAGATAAAATAATAAATTAAATTAAATAATAGCATACGACGTTTCGATTGCAACACAAGCAATCATCATCAGGTATAATGAAATAGCGACATAAAATCTAACCAGAAAACTATACAGACATATTAGCAGACAGATATCACCAAGATACATAGAGGGAGCAACACAGGAACCAGAGAGGGGTGATCATCTCTGTGGGGTGGCCTTACAATATACAATGCAACCGGTGTTGATGAAAACTTAAATGCTGCAAAATTACCAGACAATGATTCAATCGAGATGACACGCACACATCTGGTCGGCGTTGGGTGCTTGCAAGTCGTTGGCGCTAAAGCACCCGGCAGGGGCCGCTTGTCATTATTCATGGCCACGGGCGATTAATCTCAACTGCCGGCACTCGGCGACGATGTGTAATGTCCCCCCCCCCCCCCCACCTGTAAGGTGACATGCGTCTTTAAAATATACAGACGCCACGGGAGTGGTCGCGCTGGGGTCGAGCAGAGGAACGGGGGATGGGTTAAAGATTACGTACCAGGCCAGTATGTATGTTGAACTTCTTTCACACTGTACGTAGCTAACCGTGCTAACCGGAGGTGCAGGGGAAGGACAGGAAACTAGTGTTCTTATTCGTAATGTTTTCCTCTTAGTGCAAAGCGATTTACGTGATTTTTTTCGTAGGATTGTTAAGCGTTAATTGGAGGTAAATATGCGCTTGTGTCAAGGTGGCTATTCGGGTCTCGCCATCACAAACCACCAGTCCCGTTAAACGGATGTTGAAATCGTGTGCGAGATGTATTCATCCACAATAGGCCGGATAAACTACAGTTAATCCCCATCTGCAGATTCAGGCCAAATTAATTGGCCAAGATCACCTTGGCCACTTTTATTCGAAAGGGCGCCGCGGTGGCGAGATGTTAACTACCTCACCTGGTATACAGGAGTTCAATCCCGACCCCGACGCCTGTATATTTGGAGTTTGCGTGTTCTCCCCGTGGTCGCATGGATTCTTCTCCGGGTTATCTGGTTTTCCCTCCACATTTCGATTCAACATGCGTTTATAGTATTTGGCTGTGATAAATTTCCACATAAGCCACTTCATTGAGCTGTCATTTGTGGACCGGTCGCTTCTGAAAAAAAGCTAAATAGCTGAGTTGGCCTTACCTGGTAAAAGAAAAAGTTTAGTTTTAGTTTAGAAAATACGGCTTTCAAGCCATGTTCCTGTTGCTGCCCCTCCACTGTCAGGCCATTTGACGCGTCGTGAATAATTAAAATGGAGAGGTTATTATTCGTTAGAGCGGACTTGTTTTATTCACACTCAACTCTCGCGAACAGCAGTTTTTGTTGACGAAAATGAATAGGGTTCACCCTTCCCGGCAAGACATCAAGGCTGCACTAACCACACGCATGCTTGTGGTAACACAGTGCAGTTTCGCTGCAAAATTGTAGTTATCTGCGAACGACGGTCAAAAACTAAATTTTAAATAAAGGATTCGGCAACACGTTGCTGGCACAATCGCTTGCGTCAACAGTTTTATTGTGCATTCCGTAGAAAACTTTCCCAAAGTGCAAATAAATTAACTTCACATGGAACACCGATTCGACTTTATCGGGGATCCGCAACATCCCTGCAGCAGCAGCATCGTCGTCGTCTGGGAATCCGAGGATCAGGCGGAGGTGTCGTAGCGTGGCGCCACTGTAACACAAACCAGGTCCCCACTGCCCTGAGGGTGGCATTCACTATTAATGATTTCACCACGGCATCTCAGACACGGATCGTTTACATTGCTCGACAGCTGCCATGGTGGGAGGAGGGGGGAGGGGGGCTGGAGTGGGCACCATTGACCAGACACGAGTAACGCACTAGTGACGTTGCGCGCGGGGTGGCTGAACCAGCGCCATCGGCCGGCATTAAAAGTGGAAGTGCTGGAAAATGGAGGGCACATCGGCCTTGGCGCCTGCCCTGGACCCCGCGTGCGACTCCTCGCTCTCGGCCGAGGAGCCGTATCCTGGCGAGGTCTGTGCGTCGATGGACCCGAAGGGCGTCTCCATGCCTCCGAAGTCCAGATCCGAGAGCAGGAAGTCGTCCTCCATGGTCTGCGTCTCGATGCTGGTGAAAAAGAAATCGTCGAGGTCGTTGCGGGGCGTCTGGGTCTCGGCCGAGCTCAGAGGAGCGCGGGAGCTGCCTCCCGCCCGTGTCTCTCCGGAAAGCGAGCCGGACTCGGCCGAGAAGTTCATCACGGGAGTGTCGAGCTCGGGAATTGACGCGACTTGTTCCTGCGGCGCACCGGGCTCCGTCTGGGTTTGAATGTGCAGAGGCACACAGCTCGACGTGAAGTCCAGCCTCAGTGCGTTGTCTCCTGCCGAGTCGTCGGTGGAGAACGAGGAATCTCTGCGCACATCCGCCCGCATCATGGAGGGGTGTGCAAGCATCTCGCCCTTGAGGTCGATAGAATCAGGGCACGCCATGGAGGACCCTCGCTGCAAAAACAAGTCGGTCTGTGTCTCCGTGTTGAGGGCACTGTTGCACGCAAAAGTCATTTGGCTCTCAGGCAGCCTAGAGGCGTACTCTAGAAAGTTTCCAAGGTCAGTTTGGGTCTGAGTATCCAGCAGTTCAGCACAGTTTCCAGAAAACCCAGCTCGGACTGCAGGGAATTCCAGGGAGGAGTCCTGTAAGAGAACCTCCAGGTCGGTCTGGGTGTAACTGTCAAACATTTCCATGTTGAAGTCGTCTACGAGCATCATCGACGTCTGGGTAGCCCCGTCCACCCTCGTGCTATCGGGGGCTACGGAGTTCGGCGCCACCAGCGACGTGTCTGTCTGGGCGGACGTGTCCAGCGTGCCGGGCGCGATGCAGTGGTCACCCCGGTCTCGCGAGTGGGATGGGAGCGCCGCCCCCGACAGCAGCTGCTCCAGGTACAACTCAAAGTCGTGGGTGTGCGTCTCCGTGTCCACGCCGCTGGCACAGCCAGCGCGCATCTGGCTCGGATCTGTGTTCGTATTTTCAGGCGCAGTCGCCCTGTCGCAAACAACCGATTCGAGGGTGCTCAACTGATTCAGCTTGAGACCCTGGCCGAGCATAGCCATGGCGTGTAAAGTGTTGTACATGGAAGGATCCTTGAGTAGGCCGAGCACCGTTGAGTTATTGTCACCAACAAATATGCCAGCGTTACACGGTGTTGAAATGTCATACGTACCACCACTAAGCTTTGGACCCAAGGAAATATTTCTGCTATTCGGATCCCACGATGCAACGTTGGGAATTAATTGCTTCTCTGTCACCTTAGTGATTTGTATTTGGTCTTGCCCTGAATCCGTCTGTACCGCAAAGCTGGACGTCGTTCTTTGAGGATTGTGCTGAGTTTGCGTGCAAACGCTATTCGACGCGGAACCCACGGCGGTGAAGCTAACATCGGTTTGCGCATTTGCACTGACCAAGAAATTCAGCGGATGTGAGTACGTGTTCGTGGCTGAAGAATATGGGTTAGAGGCACCATAGATATCATTGATGCACACCTCGGTCTGAGCTTCGCACGTAATCGCTTTCGGTGACGCATTAGATACGGTGGAGACTGGCTGCAAACAATGCTTGCCATCGAGGTCCAAAACAGCGCCAACTCCCTTGGAGCCCTTGGCGTTGGCGCCGCCGAACGCGCCAGGGACGAGCGCCAGCGTGCTCACGATAGTGCCCGCCTCATCCACGGCGACCACCACGGGCTTGATGGAGCTGCCCTCTCTGTGGCCGAGCAGGGCCGCCGCCCCCCGCTGAGTCACCGAGAGCTTCAGCAGCACCGCACTCGGCTTGGGCAGTAGCAACCGTTTGGACGGTGTTCTCAACGGAGCAGACGGCGCTAGTGGCGGTGGCGGCGTGGGCAGCGGGTCGCTCTCGCACTTCGGTTTCGAGGAGGCGACCTTTGCACGCACAGCATGCTGCTCCACGCACCTCCCTCTCGCCCTCGGCGCGACCGCCGCCCGCACCTGATCTGCGGCGATGGACGGGCCTTGCTGAGCGGCGCGCGCAGGAGAGGGGATCGGCGCCGGCGGACAGGCGTCCGGCGTCTTCGGGGAAGATTTGTCGATCGCCGGGGCGGGCTTCTGCTGTGGTAGTACCGCCGCCATGTCTTGCGCCGTGGGGGTGGAGTCACCGGCGTAAACATCGGGCTGCTGCGTGACCGACACCACCCTCATGGGGGTTTGCACGCTGGACTGGCTCTCCAGCTTTCGTTTGCGCCCGGGCGGCACTCTTGAAACAAACAAAAAAAGAAATGTAGATGAATTGTTAAAAGTCAATAATGGTTTGTCATTACAGTAAGAGCTGTTATAGATACAAATCTCTGGACTGTGTTCCAGGCTATCTTGATATGCTTTTCAAGTAAAAACAAAACGACTTTGAAGTTATGGTCAGGCTGTAGTACTCTCGTGCCATAGTGATGGGCGCTGCACGTTTGTACCAAAAGGTATGGAAATGATGTTACAGTAATGGCTTTGCAGAGTTATTATGGAAATAAATGCAGAAGCCATGAAATATTCAAATAGTCCATATCGGGCAGCCTGGTAGAGCTCCAGCATGTATCTACACGATTAAAATATGTATGTTTCAATTACAGCTTCCTTTAAAACAATAAGGTGCTGGCACCGGTGATCTCAGCTCCCTCATGTTGGCACCAGCAAGCCCTGCTCCTCCATACCGGTGTAATAAAGGACTCGACCACGATGTCTGGCTTGGTGTCCTTTATTCGGTTCTTCTCTCTTAACCCGCACGGCTGTCCTTCTATAAGACTCTATACTGACACTGATACTGCTCTCCTGCAGTTTCTCCCCTCGTCGTTCTCTCAGCCTCTCTCTCCTCTCGTCGCTCTCGTAGCCTCTCCCTCACACACAGCCTCGCCGGCTGTGTTCCCCGCAGCTCCTCGTCCGCCTTCTCTCCAGCCGCCCCACCGCTGTCTTCTCTCGCAGCTCCGCTGGCTGCTCCCTTAGCTGGCCACCGCTGGCCGCCGCTGCCACCCCTTGGCTTTGCCCACGTGGCCTTACTCTGGTCCAGTCCCACTCGTTCTGCCTTCCTCTTCCGGTCTCCTCCCTTAAGAACCTTAACCTTTCCTCCCACGTCACCTAACTCCACCTCTCCGTGACGTCACATCCGGGAGGTCGCCCGCGCCCGCATTACACCACCCTCCCCCGTGGAGAAAAACCCAGCCGACCTCGGCTGAACAACACCAACAGTAATGCGGGCGAACCCGAGCGTAACACACCAAAGGACACCAAGCATGCAATATAACAGTAAGAACAATCAACACAACTCAACAATCAATAACGTAGCAGAAGCAGGCAATAAATACACAGTAAGAACAATACAACATAACAATCAACGAAACACAAGGGATTTAGAGCGTGTGCGGGTCGCCGGCCCGTCCCGGACGGTCGGCGGCCCATCCGCGGAACGGGAACGTGATTGAGTTTGAGGAGCGACAGGGTGAAATCCCCCTGTCGCTGTTGGAAGTCCACCAACGTCCCGTGTCCTTGAAGGATCAGTCTTGGGCTTGTCCCGCGGATGCGTCTGCAGCGGGGTCGGAAGGGCTGCAGGGCTCGAAGGACCCGCAGATCTGGCAGGCACCCTCCGAGCAGAGCGCCTCGTCCCCTCCGGTGTCAAGGCCGGCCTGCCTGGAACAGGTACGACAGGCGCTCTAGCAAGATCAATGGACGCAGGCGGGGGAGAGTCGGCAGCAACAGACCCCGGCAAGGCAACATTGGGAGATGATGCATCATGTAGGGGAGCAACATACGGTTTCAAGCGCGACGTGTGAACAAACCAGCGGCGAGAACCAATTTGAACACGCGCCGACTGAGGATTAGGAACCTCAATGAGGCGGACAGGCCCTCGCCAAGGTTTGTGAAATTTGGGAGAGGTACCCGGCCGCACCTGCGGGCAATGGAGCCAGGCCAGGTCCCCAACCTTCCAGGGGCACTCCCCTTTGGAACGCCGTGCGTACCTCTCATTTCGGGCCTGAGCTTTGGCCGTAGCCACACGGGCACTCTCCCGCGCCTCCGAGACCCGGCGAACAGTGTCCCGAATGTAGTCAGGAAGCGGTTTACAAGGTCCCCTCACACCGGTTCCCATCTGCACATCCATTGGCGGCACGTTTTCCCGACCATACATAAGGTAAAATGGCGAATAACCCGTAGCCGCATGAGGAGTCATCCTGTACGCCGAAAGCACCCCCGGGATGTGCAGGTCCCAATCCGATTGTTGCTCACTCACCGTGTGGCACAGCATGGCAGACAATGTCCGGTTTAGCCGCTCAACCATACCATCCGTTTGCGGATGGTATGGGGATGTCCGGACCTTCTTAGTCCCTAGGCCCGCGCATACTTCCGCCAATAATTTCGAAGAAAAATTTCGGCCCTGATCCGTAAGGAGTCTCTCCGGCGCACCCTTGTCCATAACATATCCGAACAAAAAGGCGTCGGTAATGGCCGCGGCCGATTGATCGGGCAACGGCCAGGCCATCGGCCAACGGGAGAGGTACTCAACCCCGACCAGCAAATATTTATTACCCCTCGCCGAAGGTGGGAAAGGTCCCAAAATGTCCAGTGCCACCAATTCATTGACCCGAGACACCCGAATTGACTGTAAGGGTGGCACATAAGGATGTTTAGGAGGCTTACGCCGGGCGCAGTCAGGGCACGCGCGGACGTGCCCCACGACATCCGTCGACATGCCGTGCCAAAAATAATGACGTTGCAACGTCAACAAGGTCTTCTGCACACCCAGATGTAATAGCGTGTCACAATGGAGAGTTCTAATCAACTCGTATCGGAGGGACGCAGGCACCACTAGACGCCAGTGTTCCTGGAGACTTTCCCTCCACATAAGCAGACCATCTCGGACCGCGGTTTCCGGCGCACCCTCCGTAACCGGACCCCCAACCTCCACTTTGGATCGCTTCCGCAAGGACACTAACGACTCATCCATCATTTGCTCCCTTATCCAAACAGACCGTGGCAGATTCAAAACCCCATCAGTCGGCCCCGGTTCCACAGTAGCATCCGACTTCTCCACAGCCAATACCACCGGCTGAGGGGGGGGTAGGCTGGGCGCACATCTCTGCGTCCCCGACGCACATTTGCAAGGGGAGCGCTGCGGCAACCTAGAAAGTGCGTCTGCGTTCGCATGGCGCACCCCTTTACGATGGTGAATTTGAAATGAAAATTCTTGCAGCGTGTCCAACCAACGCGACAGCTGGCCGGAAGGTTGATCCATTTTAAGGGCATATTGCAAGGCCGCATGATCCGTACGTACGATAAAGGAACGGCCGTACAGGTACGGTCGAAACTGACGTAGGAAAAAAACAACGGCTAAGAGTTCCCTGCGAGTGACACAGTAGCGTGTTTCCGCGGGCGACAGGACCCGGCTACCATACGCAACGACGCGCTCTACGCCCCCTTTAGACTGAGACAACACCGCGCCAATACCTGTGTCGCTCGCATCCGTATCAAGAATGAACGGTTGATTGAAATCCGGATAATCCAATGTTGGGGCGGTAGCCAACAGATTACGCAGACTCTGAAAGGCCGCCTCTTCCGGCGGTCCCCACGCAAACTTACGTCCCTTACCCGTAAGGAGGTGCAAGGGCCTCGCGATGGTCGCAAAATTCGGTACAAATCTTCGATAATACGAGGCAAATCCCAGAAAGCGACGTACATCCCCCACGGTGACCGGAGTCGGCCAATCTCGGACGCACGCCGTTTTTTCCGGGTCCGTAGACACCCCCTCAGCACTCACGATGTGCCCCAAATAACGGACGGACCGTTGCAGTAGGTGACATTTCTTTGGTTTAAATTTCAAGTTCGCGGAGCGCATCCTCGCGAACACCGTCTCCAGCCGCCTTAAATGTTCATCAAATGTGCGGCTGAAGACGATGATATCGTCCAAATATATGAGACATGTCTCCCACTGCAACCCCGTCAAAACGAGTTCCATGAGCCTTTGAAATGTGGCAGGGGCCGCATTCAGCCCCATCGGAAGGCAGTTAAATTGAAACAACCCCTGCGGCGTACGGAATGCGGTCTTCTCCCGTGAGGGCTCGTCAAGGGGAAGCTGCCAAAATCCCGAAGAGAGGTCCAGTGTAGAGAAATACTTAGCCCCCGACAATGCGTCGAGGGAGTCGTCCATACGCGGCAGGGGATACGCATCTGCCACCGATATCTTATTCAATTTTCGAAAGTCAACACAGAATCGCAATTTGCCATCCTTTTTCTTAACCAAAACCACAGGCGCGCCCCATGGGCTGTTCGACGGCGATATAATATCCGCAGCCAACATATCCTCCACTGCCCCCCGAACGTGTTCCCGCTCGGCCGGACTCATTCGGTGCGAATTCAACCGAATAGGGGCAGCGTCGCCTGTAGCAATGTGATGGTGAAGCAATGAGGTGCGTCCCAAATCCAAATCATTGGAGCTAAACACATCGGAATACGTCAATAACAATTTATGAAGCGCACCCCGTTGATCCACAGACAGGGAAGAATTTCCGTCACATAAGCTAGCAATCCAGCGGTCATCCGAAGCCACAGGCTCGGAAACACCAGCAACCACTCCCTGGCTATGCGAACAATCGTGAGCCGTAAATGCCGTGGTGGCATGTGCCACAACCGTGCCGGCTGGGACACAGACATTTTCCGTACCCGCATTGAGCACCTGCAAAAACGGTAATTGGTCTGGCCGGACGATGGTCTGCGCTCCGACCAGCGCCGATCCGGCCGTTATCGAGGCTGAAGGTGACAACAAGATCCCAACCGCTCCCAGCCGACCAGGCAGGGGCTTCCGATACCGCAGGGGAATAAGCATCTGTGAACCAGGTGGAATATCAACAGATGCCACGGATAGCGCCTGCACTTGTACGGCCGAAGCAGGTCGCCCCCAGGGCGACGGCAGAACGAAATTTGACGGCCACCCGGCAGTTCAATACAATTCTCATTAATTTTGATCAAAATAGGCATCTTAGCCAGAAAATCAGTGCCCAATAAACAGGGAACTGCCAAGGATCTTGAAATCAACACAACGCCCGAGGCCGACACATCCCCAATAGATATTTTAGCGTCCACCTGGCCCACGATGCCCATACTACCCCCGTTCGCAGCGACGCACGACCCGTAAACCGGACGCACGGCCCCGGGTGGGATGCCTAACAGATGAAAAATGACATCCGAAATAATAGTCGCGGACGCCCCGGAATCGACCAAAATGCGCACGTCCACCCCTTGTATAGACCCCGGCACGGTGGACGAACCCGTAGCGGCCGCAACAACCCTCCGTGCCAATTTGCGCCACTGCGTCACAGAGCGACAAGGCCCCGTCGAAGGTCCCTCTTTAACAACAACACTATGACCGCACAACGAAGGTGATGGGTGAGGTGTAAAGCCTTGCCGGGTGTCTGGTGCGTGCCGACTTGCCTGTTTCGGTGGATCCTTGGGCGGCTTGGCCGGTAATGAGGCCTCCTGTTGTGGCGGACCCGGGATGCGGGCCCAGCAGTCCTTCGCGTAGTGGCCCTTCCGTCCGCAGCGGAAGCAATCGGCGTCGTTGCGCCGAAGCGCAGGCCTTGCATCGCGCCGCCCGCGTATCGGCGGTGCAGCACGAGAGGCCGGTCCACCGCGGCCTGACCATGGCACCGAGGCGGCCGTCAGCTCCTGAGGGCCCCGCTCATCCGGCACGTATACCGACTTCGTAGGGTCCCAACCCAGAGCGCCACCCTCCGCGACGGGCCCCCCTGTCCACGCCGTGACCTGTTTCCATCGTCGTAGGTTGAATTGTGCATCCAGACATTTCGCCGCCGCCCGGGAGGTGAGCTTCTCATGCCCGCACACCGGCATGGGAATCCCAAGATCCCGCGACAGCTCGAGCATCTTGCCCAAGATGAGAGGCTCGAGCAGGTCAGGTGTTGTATCTGGATACGCGGCCATAGCCAAATCAAGCACTGCACCCCTGTACGCCACAGGCGACTCCTCGGGCGCTCGTTGTCGTTGAGCGAATCGCCGATGCGCGTCGTCAGGTGGCTCGTAGGCGTCGGCCATTTCTTGAAAAACTCCATATAATGTCCTCTTCTTCTCGGCCTTAATGGAGCGAAAAAAACGAACAGATTCGTCGTCCAGAAGAGTCGGCAACACTTCCAAGGCCTCAGCATCGGTCCATCTCGCAGAACGGACCGCCGCTAAAAATCTGCAGGCGAAAGCGCTCCAGTCGCCCCCAATGGCGAATTCCTTGACCGTGGTGAGATGGCGACTCCGACTTCGCTTCACTCCGCCCTCCGCCGATGGTTCCTCCGGAGGCAAATTCAAAATGGCGTCGAATCGCGGCGTGGTCAAGATGGCGGATTCCCGCCGCGGCACGCGCAAGATGGCGGCCTCCTGCCGCGTGGCCCATGGCGCCGGGAGTGAAGAACCCGTGGCGGCCTGTGGAGCACTCTCCGCTCTCTCCGTCGCCGTGCTTGGGGTGACGAGATGACACAATTGGCCCAGGGCGTCCTTGAGAGTCTCCAGTTGCTCAGCCACCTGCAGCCATCGCCGATCAGCGTCTGATGGTGTCGGCGGCCCTGACACTGTGGCTACATCTTCCACTCCCGTCCCCGCACTCGTTTCAGCAGGGCTCTCCTCCACCACCCTGGCAGGATCCATGTTTGGAGGGAAGTCTTCGTCTTCGGACGAAGAAGCCGATGCCGGCGCTGGAACATTTTTCTTTCTCACTTGTTTCGACATGCCGTTGCACTTCCGACACCAATGTAATAAAGGACTCGACCACGATGTCTGGCTTGGTGTCCTTTATTCGGTTCTTCTCTCTTAACCCGCACGGCTGTCCTTCTATAAGACTCTATACTGACACTGATACTGCTCTCCTGCAGTTTCTCCCCTCGTCGTTCTCTCAGCCTCTCTCTCCTCTCGTCGCTCTCGTAGCCTCTCCCTCACACACAGCCTCGCCGGCTGTGTTCCCCGCAGCTCCTCGTCCGCCTTCTCTCCAGCCGCCCCACCGCTGTCTTCTCTCGCAGCTCCGCTGGCTGCTCCCTTAGCTGGCCACCGCTGGCCGCCGCTGCCACCCCTTGGCTTTGCCCACGTGGCCTTACTCTGGTCCAGTCCCACTCGTTCTGCCTTCCTCTTCCGGTCTCCTCCCTTAAGAACCTTAACCTTTCCTCCCACGTCACCTAACTCCACCTCTCCGTGACGTCACATCCGGGAGGTCGCCCGCGCCCGCATTACACCGGTACCAGCAATCCCCTCTCCCTGTGCTGCCACTAGCATTCACATCTCCCCATGCTGGCACCACCATAGCTCAGCTCCCTTATGCTGGGACCAGCAATCCCAGCTCTATAAAAAATAACTTTATTTCACCAGGCAATGCCTACTGAGCTATATAGCACTTTTTCAGAAGTGACCTGGCCACAAATGATAGCTCAACGAAGTGGTTTATAATGTATACTTTAAGTGCATGTTTCTAAATGTGGAGGGAAAACCGGAGGACCCAGGGAGAAATTCATGCGACCACGGGAAGAACATGCAAACTCCAAATATACAGGCATCAGGGTCGGAATCGGATCCACGACATCTTGTATACCAGGTGAGGTAGTTAACATCTTGCCACCGCGGCACCCCTCTCTCCCATACTGGCACCAGCAATTCCAATTCCCCACGTGGCACCAGTATTCCCATGTCCCTTATGCTAGCACCAGCGATCCCAGCTGCGGCCCTGCGCTTGCACCACAATTCCCGTCTCCCCACGCTGGCGTGCCTGTGCTCCTCCGGCAACACGTGGCCGGTGCGGTAGGCGTGGGAGAGCAGTGCGGTGCGGCTGGCGTAGGGGCAGCCACAGGAGCAGCTGAACACTCGGCCACAGTCGCCCTGGTGCCGCCGCAGGTCGGCGCGCGTGCTGTACCGGCGCTCGCACACCCCGCACTCGTGCGTCCGCTCCGCGTGCATCTTCAGGTAGTGCTGTGGGGAGCGAGCGTTGGCAGTGTGGATCACTGATGTTATATACAAACTTTGAACCCGTGGCACCACACCACGAGAAGGCAAATAGAGTCGGTTATGTAATAGGGGTAGACGGGGTAAGATGACGTGGAAAGGGAAGGGATGCCGGGATGGAAGTCCCCAAAGATGGACAGAGTGCACAGATCAAGATAAGTAGCAGGAAGATATCAGCGCTGGGCAGGAAACGGAGGGGGAGAAGGAATGAAAAGGTGATGACAGCGGAGGGAAGAGAGGCAGATAAAACGAAGGAGCGAGCAGGAGTGAGCTGCACGGAGCAGCGTCTGTTTTCGAAGGGGGCGGAGAGAGAGAGGGGGGTATTCGGAGTGAGATGGCCACGCACCAGTCACGTGATTTACGGGAGGTTTGAGCTGATTTATTTTTTATAGATATCGCGTCTGACTGGCATCGTGCATAACCTAATGTAGGGCTGTGAACCTTTTCATCACAAAGGGCCGAATGGGGACACCTCGGCCATTTCTGTCACTGATCGGTTCTTGCTTTCAGTTGATCAAGTGTGAAAATGTGAGAAGACACTGCTTATTTAGCTTTTGCGTAGGATTAGGGGTTAGGAAACCTAGGGTTCAGGTTTAGGGATTAAGCGTATGGTTAGCAGTTAGGGTTTATGGTTAGTGTTTATGGTTGGCTTTAGGTGTTAGGGTTTATATTATGGTTAGTTACAATGGTACCCAAGACCTCTATCTCCTTACTCAGCATCTGCAGAAACAATAGTCTCAGCTATAGCTTAAATTCTCACTGAATATATTCTTAGCCGATGGTAGACCGGAGTAGGTGGCACGTGACCAGAAACGACAGTCCACAGAGAGAGGAACACTGGATGTTGTGTGCTGGGTGCAGAATTATTGTCCGGTTCGCCAACCCAAACAGTCCCCGCAAACTCCGGTCATCCTCACAGCATCGGTTTTAGGCAAACCATCGAACGAAGACGGTCACCGCATCGCACGCTTTCAGATGCGCTTCTGCGGCAGTCTGGAACACTCTTCCTTCCGATATCGGGAAGCCACCAGAGCTATACACTTTTAAATCTATATTGAAAACTAATTTCTTTAGAACTGCTTTTTGTGTTTATTTTGTTGTCGTCCCCCCGCACCTCCGATTAGCACGGTTGGCCACGTACGGTGCGAAACAAGTTCAACATACGTACAATGATTTCTTGGCCTCGCCCCTGCCTGAAACGGCGACTCACCTGCCGCACGAGGGAGAACTGGGGGAATGGCCTCCCTGGCCCTCTGGGACAGCCTTGCACAGGGCAGCAGTATAGCTTGGGTCGGCCATCTGACGAGCGGGACGGTCTGTCGGACGGCTGTGGGCCCTCCTAAACGACGCGGAGTAGTCCCAGGTGAGTATCCGAGCTCGCGTGAAGCACACAAGAGGGGGTTTGGTATCTTGTAGTGGATTGGTAACTACAGGACAGTACTCGATTGAGATTACGCTGGGCAATTATCGCCCGCCCCTCCTGCGACAACTTGGCAGGACACTCCTGCATGAGGGTCATGAGACTCGGCGAGACTTTCCGGGGTAAAACAAACCTTAGAAAGGACTCAAAATAATTAGCTTCGTTGCGGAGAATGTGAACAACAACGCCGCACCTCCAATTAGCTACGTACGGCGCAAAAGAAGTTCTACATACATAAGCAGCCGTGTCATCCTCACACATCCGTCTCGGCACGCAAAAATAAAGTTATTTTACAATCCTTCAGTCGCACGGTCCTCCTCGGAGAGCGCACAACTTCAGCAGCATTACCTGTGGACCAGCGTTGACACACATTCATGCCGTACATAATATACATTGATATAGTTGTTGGTGTCAGGTCTCTGGTGTGGAGATAATGAGGAGCGTGCGTGCGTGTTGATAACGCTTGCGCTGTCGGGATCTCTTGTACATCATTGCTGGCGGCAGGAATGGACCTGTCGTGTTCCCTCGTGCAGGTAATGTGTCACTGCTCTAGTCGACACTGTTCTGAGGGCCGTGTAGTGTCATTCTGCGGCTAAGCTGTGTCCCGTGTGGGTTTTCTATCCGTGACAACTGTGTACTCTGCGGTTATGCTGATGTCACGTGTGCAGTGGGTGGTGTGTCCCATGTGGTGTGATGTGTGCAGTGTGGCGTGTCCCATGTGATATGGTCTTGTGTGGTGAGTGCAGTGTGGTGAGTGCAGTGTGATGTGTGCAGTGTGATGTGTGCAGTGTGATGTGTGCAGTGTGATGTGTGCAGTGTGGTGAGTGCAGTGTGATGTGTGCAGTGTGATGTGTGCAGTGTGGTGAGTGCAGTGTGATGTGTGCAGTGTGGTGAGTGCAGTGTGATGTGTGCAGTGTGATGTGTGCAGTGTGATGTGTGCAGTGTGGTGTGTGCAGTGTGATGTGTGCAGTGTGATGTGTGCAGTGTGATGTGTGCAGTGTGATGTGTGCAGTGTGGCGTGTCCCGTGTGATATGGTCTTGTGTGGTGAGTGCAGTGTCATGTGTGCAGTGTGGTGTGTGCAGTGTGATGTGTGCAGTGCAGTGTGGTTTGACCCCGTGTGGCGTGTCCCGTGTGATGTGGTCTTGTGTGGTGTGTGCAGTGTCATGTGTGCAGTGTGGTTTGACCCCGTGTGGCGTGCCCCGTGTGGGGTGGTGTGGTGTACCCCGTGTGGTCTACCCCTGGCGGTGTGCCCTGCCTTGGCGTGGCTCCACGTTGTGATGGAGCGCGACCCTCACCCTCACGCCGTGCGCCTTGTCCAGGTGCATGCGAAGCGCGGGTTCGTTGGGCAGGGCGCGGCCGCACCGCGGCACGGGGCACGCGATGTCGGTGCGGACCGCGCGGCCCAACTCCTGCGCCGAGGGCACCACCAGCACCGAGACCTGCCCCGCGGCCTCACCAGGCACAGGGCCCCTTGCGGCCGTCATGCCAGCGGCCTCCAGCACACACACGATCCTATGGGCCCACACACACGATCCTATGGGCCCACACATATGATCCTATATGGGCCCACACCCGATCCTATGTGGCCCAACCCCGACCGGATTATCGTCGCCACCCTTGGCACCGCGGACCAAGCCCGCGCATGTTTCTCAGTCTGCCGAGGTCGATTACCAAAACAATATACACCACCCTCATCAACCTGTGCACGAGATCGATACAATCAACACAAGACGCCAATTCCCGTAACGGTGGCAACCCCAGCCGAGACCAGCTCCCGTGGTGCCCCGACTCGGCCTAGTTGCCCCGCCAGGCTTAACCCGCCCGAGTCGACAAGGCCCGAGGGCTTGGTGCCGACTCGCGGTGCTCACCTCGGGACGATCTTCAACCCGGGGCCGAACCGAACCGGCCGACCCCGAAGACTGATTCCGATGTTCTGACCCCGAAGACTGATTCCGATGTTCTGACCCCGAAGACTGAATCCGATGTTCTGACCCCGAAGACTGAATCCGATGTTCTGACCCCGAAGACTGATTCCGATGTTCTGACCCCGAAGACTGATTCCGATGTTCTGACCCCGAAGACTGATTCCGATGTTCTGACCCCGAAGACTGAATCCGGGCCCACTGGAGTCCGTGTAGCGGTGTGTCTCGCTCCCTGACGTGTCTGTGTGTCTCTCTCAGTGAAGTGTCTGCCAGTGTCTCTACGTGTCTGTAGGTTGTATCTCTCCCACGTGTTGTCTCCGTGCGCCTGTCTCTCGGTGTCGAACTCGTCGTGTCGATGGACAATGTCGGGTTGTCCGCGCCGTCGTTGCTGTGCTACGCGCGCGCGAGAGCGCGAGGTGACGTCACACACACACAGAGCAAAGACAAAGATCCCCCGTGTAGCCTACACACGCTGTTGGGGCAAGTGCTGTTATGTTCGCGAGTTGCTCGCCTCTTTAAGGACTGTACTGCGGCTCTTAAATTGTTGAGGATTACCATGGGAGTCCAGTTTATCGTGGAAGTTTAGTTTACCATGGAAGTCCAGTTTACAACAGGAGCCCAGTCCACCCCGTGGAAGTCCAGTTTACCATGGGAGTCTAGTTTACCATGGGCAGGAGTCGGCAACCTGCTGCTGATAGGAACCGCCAGGTTACACCAGCCCACAGGGGATTATTGTGTCCCTCCGTCGTGCAGGGAGGGGCTGGGTGGGGAGGGAGGGGCTGGGTGGGGAGTGGCTGGGTGGGGGGGCTGGGAGGGGAGGGGCTGGGTGGGGAGGGGCTGGGTGGGGGGCTGAGATGGGAGGGGTGGGGCTGGGTGGGGAGGGGCTGGTCACCTCGTGGTGCCCTTATAAAACTCAACGTTTAACCTACTCACGCCGGCTTGTGCCCGCCCTCACAGTCGGGCATATTTGCGGAATACACCACGCCGCCGTTGACCCTGCAGGCCATTGAGCGAGCAACCCAACGTTCCTACCAGCTCCCTCCGCAGGAATTTGTTATTATGTGATACGTTGTATATCCTAATTATGTTATCAAAGAAAAGGAAGGTCGATAAGAAGTGCAGAGTCGTCCAAGAAAAGTGGAGGAATTCATCATTTCTTTGCGGAGGTCAATGGAAATCCAACAACGCAAATCAAGGTAGCAAACAGCCTCGTCGTCCACGTGTTTACGAACGTCGACGCCAGTGGCCCAAACAGGCTTCAGGAAGCCAGCAGCAGCAGCAGCACTGAGCGAGACGCTGCACAGCACACATCGCCGTACTCATTCGTGTGCGTCTTGACATTATGTGGGTTGTTGACGTGAATTTACCTCCCGTTTTTATATTGTGCTTTTCATAGGCCCGATTGTGTGGCCCGCGGGAGATGCATTTGAATCCAAACCGGTCCGCTGTCCAATAAAGTTTGACAACCCTGATTTAAACCACCTTCTAGTCAAATCGTCTGTGTCAATGTCCATGTTACAGATACATGCGCGTACCGTGCAAGGCCTTCATAGGTGCTCGCTAACAGCACTCCTCCCCCCCCCCAACAGTCTGGTAAAGGTAATAAGGGGGTGATTGCTAAAGACAATAATGCCTGTGTGCTGTCCATGCGAGCCTGCACGGCGTCTCTTCACCAACCACGAAGCGGCGAGGCCGAAGGGCGCGACGCCTGCCTCCGGCTCTGCGACAGCCGGAATCTTCAACAGCGTGCGGTACAAACGTGGACGTACGTCTGGAAGGAAATCTCTTACAATTCCACTCAGTTCGCGTTGAAGCAACGCTCGAAAATCAACATGCCGCTGTCGGGCTCACGCAAGCACGCGTATTGGTTGCTTGCTCCCAGACGTTGGGTGGCATATTACGCTGCACAGACGTGGTACGAATATTGCGGCGGATGTCATCCAGCGGCAGATCGACCACAAGCACCGCGATTGAATTGACCGAATTCTAGATTTGAAGCTTTCGTGACTGCAAGGATTCATATTCTTAGTTTTTTTCGGTAAAGTCACGTAGGTAAAACATCAAAATTAATGAAAATAAAATAAAACAAAATTAGCTGATCAGCTAATTCGGCTGTGACGGTCCCACCTGATGACGGAGACTTCTGTTGCCTCCGAAACGTCGTGATTTTTGTTTTATTTTATTTTCATTAATTTTGATGTTTTACCTACGTGACTTTACCGAAAAAACCTAAGAATATGAATTGACCGATTTCGATGCGAGCGTCGCTCACGGCTTTTAAAGCCGGCGCGTGGCCGTGACGTCCTGGGCCATACCACTGCGCGACGGGGGCTGGGGGGGAGGGGGTTGCAGGGCCATCGCGATGCGCGCGGGGATGCAGTCCCGACCTCCCCCAACCCCCCTCCCCGGAATGAGTGAGTTGGTATGCGCCACGAGAGACACGCTGGGTCGTACAGTGCGCGAGGTGGCCTTGAGTTCGCGTTGTGTTCGTGCAGCCATTGTTGCTGCTGCTGCTGTTGCTGCTGCTGTTGTTGTGAGAGGGGAGAAGCCTGGACCACCCTGCGAGGAGCCGTGACACGACGGGACGAGGCGGCGCGGCGCAACGATGCTACCCGCGCGGGTGCGGGTAAGCCGCTGTCACCGTCTGAGAGCAACAATGCTGCTCATGGTCTCTTGTCGATGCCGTGTCAGCGTGGTCTCGAGAGAGCGAGGCAAGGCACAGCCACTGTTCTAGGGGAAAAGTCAGGGGGTTGTTTCCCTGCCCTGTGGTTTCAAATGTCCGAGTTGGAAAGGACATCGATGATCTTGACGTCATCCTGGCCAACGCGCTCTTCCTTCCGCCATGTCCCCGCCGCTGCTGCTACTGCTACTGCCGCTGCTGCAGTCTACACACAGCGACGGGCTCGTCAGTCCTCCTGACAGCCTCCCACCAGATGAGCTCTGAGGTCTTAGTCTCCCCCCCCCCTCACCGTCCTCTACACACGTCCCACCGACCGAGGCCGTTCTCCCCTCGTCGCTACATGTGCCGTGTTCTGCCGCGGAGCTTCGGCGTTGCTGTGCTCCCCTCCTCGCCTCGACGGTTCTAGAGGCCGTCCCCGACACGTGTTCGTGTTGAGACGCCGAGAACATCGCTGGTACAGTCACTCGGTCACTCCCCAATGAGACGGCGTTGAGGCAAGCAGCGAGGCACCGCCGCTTGCCATCTCCGCTTGCCATCTCCGCTTGGCCACCCACTGCGCTCTTACACGCGCAAGCCATCATCATCATCCTCACCACCACCTCGGGTAGAGCCGTCAATGGCCACGCTGCACGGAGACCCCTGAGTAGGTAATCCACGTGGGTGGCGATGTGACCGCTTGGAATCGGACGATTGTTTTGAAGTCGGTTTTGTTTACTGCCGTATGTATGCACTGTATGTCGAACTTCTTTCGCACCGTACGTAGCCGATCGTGCTCATCGGAGGTGTTGCCATCGCATTGATTCTAGGCCAGAATGCATGGTGTGATTTGACGGCGTTCCTTGGCTCTGGCGTTTTAAGACACGTGCCTTTGTGTGCATGCCTGTATATCCATAATCAACGTTTTTGGTTTAGATCGCGTTATTTATAAATGTGTCAACACTCCACCACCCGACACGGCCAATCAGCAAAAAAGTGTCACGTTGACAAAAATACAAATAGTTCACTGCTTTAGCCCACCGGTGTGTTGAAGCGTGAAACCACAACATGTACAATTTTTGAGTATAAATAACCCAAAAACGTTTATTATGAATAATATTGGTCGCGAAAGCCTACGTGTTAAAATGCCTGTATATCTTCCACTCTCTCAGACTGCGTGTGTGTTAATAAGCAACTGCGTTAAAATGAGAGCACGATATCGTCCCCAGGTGTGCGTGTTGCGTGCCGCCTGTCTCCGCCTCTACTCTGGCACTCGCGCAACCACCGCCACCGCCACGCGCGTCAACAGGCACCTGCTGACAGATCGGGCCGGCCGGTGAGCAAAGGAACGAACCGCGTTGTTCATGTCCTCGTTGACAGACGGCGAGAGGTGGGGGAAATTGACACTTCTTAAAGCTCTCGCCGACTTGGATTATTCACGGTTGGACATCCACACGAACTACATTTTGACTTTTGAAACATCCTGAGTTATTGAGAGCAGTTCACGAACTTCATGAGAGGTGCACTGGGAGACTGGCTGTTAATGCACGTGAACGAGACCCCCTCGTCACTGCTGCGCATGTGTTCAGTCCGAAAATCTGTATTTGAGAGGTAAAACTTCAATTTGTAGGATTACCATATTACGTGGGGTGTTCCTTGCTTAAATTTGTAATATCGTATAAATACATACTATATAAGTTAATATATTAAACCTGTTTTTTTTCCGCACTTTTTGCATAATTGTTATGCACGTGCCAATACACGCCCAGGACACCCTTGGAATGGAGAGACGTTCCATCCCCCGAGGGTGAAATGTGTTAATTTTGTAAGAAAATACAAGCAATCTAATGTCACAGCTGCGTATGAATGTGTGCTTCTCAAGCGTTGTGAAGGAGCGTTCTCTGATGAGGAAGCTCGCGCTGGGCTCGCTGGTGGGGCTGCCCTTGCTTGGAGGCACGTGCTACGCCCTGTTAGACGCACAGACCAAACGCAAGACAAGAATACTCGTCCAAGGAATCCAGCGCTTCTGCAGGTTAGCCACGCGCCGTCACTTGCTCAATGAATGCGATCTAAAATCATGGTCGAGGGTTGCCAAGAAGTATCTGACATTTTTTTAAACGTCGCACACGTTGTCGAAGCCTTTCATGAGAAAAGGTGCCTTGCTCAGCCGTAGAGAGTGGGCGGCTCGCAATCGGAAAGTTGCACATTCACAATCCCTCGTTGGGGGTTGACTTGGCCCATCATCCATCCGCAGTCAATAAATTTGGTACCACTTTGTATGTATGTGTAGTGGTGTTTATTCACGCGAACAACTTCTTTTTCTCCTGTGTCACTTTATTCGAAGCATCCCACACGGGATGCTCCTCACGTACTCCTCTCTCGAGCTCACTCTCTCTAGCTCCGCTAGCCTGCTACTCCGAGCTCACTCTCTCTGGTTCCGCTCGCCTGCTACTCCGAGCTCTCTCTCTCTAGCTCCGCTAGCCTGCTACTCCGAGCTCTCTCTCTCTCTAGCTCCGCTAGCCTGCTACTCCGAGCTCTCTCTAGCTCCGCTAGCCTGCTACTCCGAGCTCACTCTCTCTTGCTCCGCTAGCCTGCTACTCCGAGCTCACTCTCTCTAGCTCCGCTAGCCTGCTACTCCGAGCTCACTCTCTCTAGCTCCACTAGCCTGCTACTCCGAGCTCGCTCTCTCTTGCTCCGCTAGCCTGCTACTCCGAGCTCACTCTCTCTAGCTCCGCTAGCCTGCTACTCCGAGCTCTCTCTCTCTAGCTCCGCTAGCCTGCTACTCCGAGCTCACTCTCTCTAGCTCCGCTAGCCTGCTACTCCGAGCTCACTCTCTCTAGCTCCGCTAGCCTGCTACTCCGAGCTCACTCTCTCTAGCTCCGCTAGCCTGCTACTCCGAGCTCACTCTCTCTTGCTCCGCTTGCCTGCTACTCCACACTCTGCTCGCCTGTCACGGACGCTGTCTCTCTCTCTGGTTCCGCTAGCCTGTTCTCCGCTAGCCTCTTACTGTATACTCCGCTAGCTTCTCACCTCGCTAACCTCTCACTGAATCTGCTGCTAGCCTATTCTCCGCTAGGCTAACACACTCACACTTAAGGATTCCGCTAGCCTCTCCCCCGCTAGCCTGTTACTACTATACCCACACCTCAACGTCGCCCGTGGCCCCAGCAAGGGTTAAGCCAACACTGCTGGGGAGGACGAGGTGTGGAGGGCGAGGTCCTGGACTTCTCTTGCTTTGACTTCTTCACTTCTTCATCTCCAACCAACTCAACTCCGTTGCGTCACATGTTCCCCTTCTACCCCCCTCCTCATTAAGTGTCCTCAGGTGGCCCTCGGGCGTCCTTCCGGCATCTCTTGCACGTTCCCCCCCCCCATCGCCTCTAACTCTAGTCTTCTTGGTGCCTACTCCGTGTTTGCAATTGCAGTCAGTTGATCACTGCCTCTTTCCCTAATTGCTGGCGTCTCTCTGTTTGCTGTCTCCCAGGCCACACGCTTGCACCAGCTCGACTTGACCTCACTTTTTGCAACCCCGTAAATGAATGCAACTGTTGTTTGCAAACCCTGCGCGCGTTACGCCACTACAAATGTATATTGAATATCCATCCCACCGTACATAGCCAACTGTGCGAATCGGAGGAGCGGGGAAAGGACAACAACATAAACACAAAAAGCATTTCTAAAAAAAAGAGTTTTCAATCTAGATTCCACACTGGTTGCTCTGCTATAGGAATGTGAGATTTCCACCACTGGCTCAGAGCTGTAAACAGGAGAGAGAGCACTGCCCCCATGCTCGTTTGAGCAACAAATCACTGTCTATTATTTTGACCTTGCAACAAACTTCTATTTTTAACTTGGTACATCCTCAAACATGAGCGCGTGTAATAATAAAAAATAAAAACATCAATTGCCTGAATTATTTTTTTGTTAAATGTACCGGATTAAATTCCCATTGTTTCATGGAACTTCGTTGATGCAACTTCGTGAAACAGTGCGAAGTTATTGATGTGTCTCTTTCTAGGTCTGTGCATGTGGGAATGCGCATATCCGGCGATTACTGGTGGACCATGAACATTGGTCTCAAAGGACTAGAGGAGGTAAGTTTATGGACAAGCAATGTGCATGATGTGACAAGGTAGGATGTGATCTCATATTGTGCACTAACCTCGACATTTAAACTCTGATTTTCACACTCACTCCTGCCGTACGCCAAAATAAACACTTGCAGCTCATGACCACGTGGCGTTGGAGATTTTGTGATTTGCAATCTTATACAATGTGGTTTACATAGTGACTACATGTGACCACATTTCAAGATGCTGGATATAAACAGTGGGCATATTTATAATTACAGTATCGATATGTTTAGTTTTAACATTTATCAATGAAGGGCTTGTTTTTAAAAGTATACGATGAATAGTTAGAACCAACACGTGAAAACACATGTCTCTTGTGTTAAGAGCAGTACAGAATACAAGCAGGTGTTGTCGGATTGCCACCAGCGGGCAGCCGACAGCATCGTGAACGCGGCCATACTCAACGGAGGTGTTTACATTAAGCTGGGCCAGGGCCTGTGTGCCTTCAACCACCTGCTACCTCGCGAGTTCACCAAGACGCTGCGTGTGTTGGAGGACCAAGCGCTCGACCGCAGATACCAGGAGGTGACCAGCGGAAGAGAACACTGCGCTGCACGCAGCTTGCAACTGACTGCAATCAACGTCCTGCGTATTGCCTATATACACACCACTGCACGTTATATGTGAACATAAGCTAAACAATTTTTTTTTATATTACTGATCAAGGTTCACTGAGCGATGTAGCTCTTTTTCAGAAGCGACCTGGCTCAACGAAGGGACTTATCGCGTGGAAATTTATTGCAGCCAAATACTTTAAACGCACGTTTCTAAATGTGGAGGGAAAAACTGGAGGACTCGGAGAAAAATTTACGCGACCACAGGGAGAACATTCCAACTCCAAATATGCAGGCATCAGGGCCAGGATCGAAACTACGACCTTCTGCATACCAGGCGAGGGAGTAAACATCTCGCCACCATGGCAGTGGTGGCTATGCTGGACGTGGCTTGCATTCCAGCACTGTGGAGGCAGCGAGTGTTGGTGGATGACAGTGTTGTGAAACTACCTTCCCGTGGGCGTCGATGAGGTGTCATAACCCTGGCTCGCCAGGAGAAGGCAGTACAGTAAGAGGAATAATCACCATCTGTTTCCATCTGTACGGGGATAGTGTTGCCTTCTTGCGTGCATGGGTTTTCTCTGAGTGCCCTGGTTTTCTCCCACATGTATAAACACTCATCACTAATTGGCTGCAAACATCTTAAAATAAAAACCCTGTTTAACAGGACTCTTCTGAAAAAGAGTCCGACCACTCACTAGTGTGGCTCGCCTGAATAAATTGGTATTCAAATACATATTGTAATAATTGTTTACACCTGCTATAGTTAATCAAAGTCGGACGCAATTCTGTCCTGCAGGTTTTTTATTGTGCATGTGAATGGGTGTGGGAGGGTGACATTATTAATCACTGGGTGATTGAGACACCTCCAGTTGTCGTTCACGTTCTGAGGATGGCGCCACGATCCTCAGGGCCGGCAGCGATGGTCCTGCATCGAAGAATGATCGCCCTTAATCCAAGTTTACATTTTTATAGCTTAATTTTGCTACTCAAGCCAACTTTTGTTTCAGGATTTTTGTTGTTGAATTTCGATTTTTTCACTGTTTTTTTACGTCTTCTAGAATGTGGTTGTTTTTGCTCCGATTTCTATTTGCTTCTTAGATATGCTTGTTTTTTTACGTTTTATTCAATTAAATTGTGGTAATCCGGGTCACTTGCAAAAAATCTCCACCCCTATTCCTTTTGACTTCTCACTCAACAAAACAAGCGCAACGCTTCGTGCCGAGAAGGACCCCGCTTGAGTTGGCACGCGCGGAGGAACGACGCCGTACCGAATGCGACGCGGGGGTCGGACATGCCAGCCTCGTTCGGTGACGTTGCCAAACCAAAGTTGTTGTTGTTGCCGCGTACGCTGTATGCAGGTGGACGCGCTGTTCCAGGAGGATTTTGGCACAACGCCCTTGCAGCTGTTCTCCGAGTTCGACTACGAGCCGGTGGCAGCTGCCAGCCTGGCTCAGGTGCACAAAGCACGGCTGCATGACGGAACGCCTGTCGCCATCAAGGTTCGTGGCGGGACACTCGCTGACAAGCACACTGCGTTCAGCCACAATACTGCTCCCTCTCTCCGATTCTTCTCTCGCACAGCTTCACTTTGGAATTCCCTCCCCCCATTGACTCTTTTTTTTTTCGCCCAACTCTGGTAACCTCGTTCACTTCGACAAATGCGCTAACTCTCACCGATAGCATCTGCGATGGTGCTGTTCATTGCTGCTCGCCTAATATTTTTGGGCCTGTGCCAGGCAACTGTGATAAAAGTACAAAAGCTGTGGGATGCACTCGTGACGGATGGTTTGTTATATTGCGTCGCGAGTGTTACATTTGCAGAGACGAGGGATGTCAAACTATACTCTTAATGATGGAACCGGAATACGTGTGTGTCTTGTGTGCTGTGGGCTCCCGTTGAGTCCTGGTTTGACTCTCTTGTCTGGGCTAGGTGCAGTACATCGACCTGCGCGACCGCTTTGATGGAGACGTGCGCACGCTGGAGATACTTCTCGACCTCGTGGCGCTCATGCACCCCACCTTTGGCTTTCGCTGGGTACTCAAGGTAACGTTTACGTACCCAACGGGTACACTTGGAAACGGGCAGCAATGTATCGCATCGCTCGGCGGCATTTCCCTTCAAGATCTCGTCATGGCCAAAGCCGTTGTTGCCACCGCCCCTCACTGCCAATGCGTGCCACCCTCTGGCAGATCCTACAGCTGCTGCACTGCAGAGACACGCAGCAACCTCCAACATCTGGCCTGACAGTCTCCTCCTACCTTCTGTTTTTAGATAGACTCACACAGAGAATCACAGACTCACATAGAGAGCCACAGACCCGCAAAGAGAACCACAGACTCACACAGAGAACCAGACTCACACAGAGAACCAGAGACTTACACAGAGAACCAGATACTCACACAGAGAATCACAGACTCACATAGAGAGCCACATACTCACAAAGAGAGCCACAGACTCACACAGAGAACCACAGACTCGCACAGAGAACCACAGACCCGCAAAGAGAGCCACAGACTCACACAGAGAACCACAGACTCACACAGAGAACCACAGACTCGCACAGAGAACCACAGACCCGCAAAGAGAACCACAGACTCACACAGAGAACCAGAGACTCACACAGAGAACCACAGACTCACACAGAGAACCAGAGACTCACACAGAGAACCAGAGACTCACACAGAGAACCAGAGACTCACACAGAGAACCACAGACTCACAGAGAACCACAGACCCACAAAGAGAACCAGAGACTCACACAGAGAACCAGAGACTCGCACAGAGAACCAGAGACTCACACAGATAACCACAGACTCACACAGAGAACCACAAATCCGCAAAGAGAACCAGAGACTCACACAGAGAACCAGAGACTCACAAAGAGAACCAGAGACTCACACAGAGAACCACAGACTCACACAGAGAACCAGAGACTCACACAGAGAACCACAGACTCACACAGAGAACCAGAGACTCACACAGAGAACCACAGACTCACACAGAGAACCACAGACTCACACAGAGAGCCACAGACTCACAGAGAGAGCCACAGACTCGCATAGAGAGCCACAGACTCACACAGAGATACCCATAGATCTGCCCTGACGGTATTGGTCGTCCCCGTGGTAGCTGGACTCGTGAAGACCACTCCAATGGCCGTCTCTGCAATGAAGGGGTGGGGGTATCCCGAGTCTCCTCCTATCCTGCGCCAGCTTCTTGTACTTACACCTTGTGACCTGTTAGCAGCGGGCTTTCCTCGCGCGCTCGTTTGTGTTTGCCCACTGAATGAGAACGATGGCTGCGAGATGAAATCGTTGCTCACAATACTCGCTGCGTTGTTACGGAGCCCGAGGGCGTTCGTGCGATGAGTACGACTGCACGTTCGTTTCCGTTCAGGACCTCAAGAGCACGCTCGCGCAGGAGCTGGACTTTGAGAACGAGGGACGCAACTCGGAGCGCTGTGCCCGCGAGCTGGCGCACCTGGAGTACGTCACAGTGCCCAAGGTCTACTGGGCCTTCACCAGCAAGGTGAAGGCGCGCTCTTGCGCTCAGCTTGGAAGGGTGTGTGTGTGTGTGCGTGCGTGCGTGCGGTGTGTGTGTGTGTTGTGTGTGTGTGTGTCTGTGTGGTGGCCTTCATCGGTGCTTGCCGCAAGTCTGTTGAGGCTTAAACGGGGATCTTTGTCTTGGTAGCGATTAGCGCGCTGCACTACAAACCTGGCGGGCCAAGTTCGATTCCAGCTCGTGGCCAACACCCGTGATGATTATCTGAACGGGTCTTGGGCCTCCCCGAGGTCGACTGAGCCTGAAATGATTACCTGGTGCGGTATGGAAACATCGCAGCGGCGGAAACAAAGGCAGCCTGGCAAGGTGTTGGCCACCCACCCCCTCGTATGCCGTGCCGGCCTTCATAGGTGGTCGCTAACAGCACTTGCCCCAACAGTCCCGTAAGGCTATATGGGGGATCTTTATCTTTGTACCTTTGGTCGTGTAGCGGTTAGCGCACTGCGCTATAAATCCGACGACTTGAGTTTGATGCACGCTCACGGCCAACACCTGTGACAATTATCTGAACCGGTCCTGGACCTTCCCTAGGTCGACTCAGCCTTAAATGAGTACCTGGTGCGGTGTGTAAACATTGCCGCTGGGGAGACAAAGGCGGTCGGGCGTGGTGCTGACCACCCACCCCCTTGTGTGCCGTGCTAGCCTTCACAGGTGCTACTTATTAACAGCACTTGCCCCAACAGTCTGTTAAGGCTACACTGTGTATCTTTATCTTCGTGAAACAGCGTGTCCTGACAGCCGACTTCTGCTTGGGCTGCAAAGTAAATGACGTGGATTCCATCCTGCAGCAAGGCCTCAGCTTACAAGATGTGAGTGGCGGCGATCTGCCGGGGGGACTTGAGGGCCAGAGTTTACTGCGGTCTCACCGTCCTGTCCCGTCCCCACCCCCCCTCCTATCTGTCGCGCTGAGCTGGTTGCGTTGTTACTCCACTCCATGCCGTTATCCGCAGGTGGTGGCGCACGTGTCACATCGTGTTTTCACCATTCCGTTTGGGTCAAGGTATAGGACTGAAACATCGTCGAGGACCGGTTTGTGAGAGAGTTTACATCTTGCGGTGGCTAGGAGATGTTAACTTCCTTGCCTGGTTTACAGGAGGTCGTGGGTTCGATCCCGACCCTGACGCCTGCTGCTGTATATTAGGAGTTTGCATGTCTCTTTCCCCTGTGGTGTCTGGATTTTTCCCTAGTTTAGTTTTATCTTTGAATGTTGATCTTGATAAGTATTGCATCCCAAATATGGAGCATGCCTACCCGGGCATTTGTCGATGTTGCTTAAAAAAATTATTGCAGATGTTCATATTTAATCAGGAGATCAGATAAACCCATGGAGACAAGTGCTACAGCGTTGAGTCCTTCGTGAGGATAACCTGGGGTTCATCATGACAATGGAAGTAGCTATGTATGGATGTATGTTGAACTTCTTTTACACCGTGCGTAGCCAACCATGCTTATCGGAGGCGCTGGTGCAAGGACAGCAAACCGCACACAAAAAGCACTTTTACAGAAATTAGTTTTAAATCTCGATTTACGCAAGATTTTCAATGCACGTAAACATTTGCAAGCCTAGACCAGTAATGTAGCCAACACGTGAATAAGCCTAAGTAAGAAGTTGAATTTCACTTCAATCAAATAAATGTGCGAGAAGGATGTTGACGAGACTAGGCAAGTAGAGGCATTGGAGAAACATTGACATTAGTATGGTTGGCTACGTACGGTGTGAAAAAGTTCATCATGCGTGCATACATACAATACATTGCAAAACGAGAAAAATGTGCAAATCAACGCGATTAACCCAAATATACGCTCACGGATGTCTCCCTGCGTTCCACGAAGTCTCTCATTGGTGACGGTGTTAATGTTCGTCCCGTCGTGTGGCTCGCTTTTTCCCCAGGTGGCAGGAAAGCTGATCGCAGTGTTCGCAGAACAGATCTTTTCCACTGGCTTCATCCATGCCGACCCACACCCGGGCAACGGTGAGAATGGCAGCGCAGGGGCGCGGCGCCCACCACAGTTTGGGGTTAGTTCACGACAACCAAGTCAACTTAAGGGTCTCGGGGGACTTGCGCAAGCCAGTCGAATCGCCGTGTGCCCTCTTGTAATGGAAAACTGGCTCCCTTGTTTTTCCTGACGGACGGCACGTGAATCCTGGCGCGATTCTTCGGCCGGTCGATCCACGATTTGTAACGGGGGCGGCCAGGTGCACGGAGAGACACGGAGAAAAATGTAATGTCACGCACGCAATGTCGGTGATCATTTTGGAATTGCATTCACGCAAAGAGTGCGAGCTCAGCCACGTGCCGTCGACACCTTAACGTTCTACCTCGATGCCGTTGTGTAAACGGGACCGTGCCGACACAAACAAAAAATGCGCAAGGCATATATCGCACGTGTTGTGGGCCCCACAACTCTATCTGTCGCTCGGCTGGGCCAAAGTGGTTTTGCTGACCCCGTCCGTCGGAATACTTTGAAAATCACAAAGCCATCAGAGCTCCGTCCGCACATCCAAGGTAGAGAACCACTGCTTCGGCAAAGCAGTGTTTACCCATGTTTACCGCCTTGAGTGCGGTGGTGGTGGTTGCCCGCAGTGCGGTGACGGTGTTGGCTGGCGGGGCCTGCGTTGCCTCGCTGACTGCGGTGGTTGTGGCCGTGTTGCCCGCAGTGCTGGTGAGAAAAGAGAAGAACGGCAAGGCAGGCCTGGTTCTTCTTGATCACGGCCTCTACGAGCATCTCAGTGAGCGGTAAAAAAAGCACTTTGGTGGTGTCCGAATAACATCAGATAAATGAAAAATATTTTTTTTATGCAGCGTCATTTATTCATATTGCATCACAACACTCTTTAGACTTTGTAACGTCCACAGTTTTGTGAGATGCGGGAAAACCAAAGAGACGGGAGCCAAAATTGTTGTCCCCCATCACTGCGGCCCTCGTCACCATGACTCTCCATCACCACGGCCCCATCTTCACAGCCCCCGTCACCAGGGCCCCCGTCACCACGGCCCCTCCGTCACCACGGCCCCCCGTTACCACGACTCCCGTCACCATGACTCCCCATCACCACGGCCCCATCATCACAGCCCTCGTCACCACGGACCCCCGTTACCACGGCCCCCCGTTACCACGACTCCCGTCACCCTGACTCCCCATCACCACGGCCCCATCATCACAGCCCTCGTCACCACGGACCCCCGTTACCACGGCCCCCCGTTACCACGACTCCCGTCACCATGACTCCCCATCACCACGGCCCCATCATCACAGCCCTCGTCACCACGGACCCCCGTTACCACGGCCCCCCCGTCACCAAGGCCGTTGCGATGAAGGGGGGGGGAGGGTATCCCGCCCACCGTCGTGGGATCCTTGGACAGTGAGAACTAAATTCCGGATCCCTTCTCCCTGCAGACCACAGGAGTTTGAGAGAAGCCTCGGACTCTGGAGCAGAGCTCATGTGTGGGGGGGGTAGAGCGAGATGAGAGGGGAGAAGGTATGTGGGTGGAGAGACCAAGGAGGGGAAGGGACTGTGAAGATGGTGTCATACCTGAGACGCTCATTAAATGAAATCTACATATTCATCCAAGAGAGCCATGCTGAGTCATATGACTCTTTTTCAAGCAGGTCCTGATTTGATCTCATCCCGGAACTCAATATTTAATTACATATTGTTTAAAAATGTATTATGGTTCAACAATAAAAGGAAGCCACCACTGTCGTCATGCATCACACAGGATTCTGGGACTCGGTAGATCTCCCGGAGGATCGCTCCGCCGAATAGAATAGTTCCGCGGTTCGGAAGTTGGATGGTTAAAAAATAATAACGTCTTCTCGTGCTTCCTTCGTATGTGTGGATGTTTGCAAGTCGGGCGTTCGTGTCTCGGGCACTGCCTGTAATATATTAGGGTACCGGGATGGCGAGATGTTAACTCACATGCCTGGTATGCAAGAGGTCATGGGTTAGATCCTGACCCCGACGCCGATATATTTGGAGTTTGCGTGTCTCTCTCCCTGTGGTCGCTTAGATTTTTTTACGGGTCCTCCGGTTTTTCCCTCCACATTTATAATCAACATGCTTTTTAGAGTATTTGGCTGCTATACATTTCCAGATGATAAGTCACTTCGTTGAGCTGTCATTTGTGGCAAAGCCGCTTCTGAAAAAGAGCTACACATCTCAGTGGGTCTTACCTGGTTAAGGAAACATTGTTTGGCTTAATTGCTATTTTACTTAAACTGACGTGTATACGTGGCTTCACGATAAATTAAACAAACAAATAAACAAAAGTGTCGCCCCTCCCGTGTGCGTGTTTGTGTTGAGCTCAGGGACCGGCTGGCGCTGTGCCAGCTGTGGCGAGCGATCGTGCTGCGGAGGGACGCCGACATGAGGCGCTTCTCGGCAGACCTCGGCGTGGGAGGTACGAGGCACCGCCGCAAGGCCACGCTCGGGCACACGGCGCGGCCCTGAGCGCCACGCTGATCTACGGCGGGAGCGCTTGATTTATCGCCCCGGTCGGAGCTCGTGATTTATCGCCCCAGTTATGAATCTTCCCAGCGTCACAAGGGCGTGCCGCGCACGCCACGGTAGCCGGGTTGAGACCTCGCAGTCGCCACCCACGTGGGGAGGCTGCAGTTCGATCCCCGCCTCCTAGCAGGCCCGTATATTTTGGGGTTTGCAAGTTCTCCCCGCGGTCACGTGGGGTTTTTCTCCGGGCACTCCGGTTCACCCCCCCACCGCGCCGCGCCCCTCCCCACCGCGCTGTGCCCCTCCCCACACTGAGAAACGTGCACTCTGATTGGCTACTCTTAAGTCCACACGAGATGAGCGGTGACCCGCTGCGTTCACTCCTGATCAGCGGGGAGTGTGGCCATGTCGCCTCTGAATTAGAACTAAACAGTTCCGTAGACATCACCCGGTAAAACAAGTTTAGTTTAGATCAGTGTTCTTCACCGCAAGGCCCGCGGGCCACTGGCGTCCCGTGGTGGCCCTTTAGTGTGGCCCCTGACGTGCGGCCCACCAACAATACACAAACCGTGAAAACACCCCATTGTCATTGTGCTGTCAAACCCAACAATAGCTGCAAATGTGTGGCAGCCCTCACACTGATTGTATTAACGGCAAAAGTGAAAAAGAACACTGGTTTAGCATATCGAGAATCACTTTAGACCAGATTTCCTCAACGAGAAATAATTCATGCATTACACATGCGTGTGTGCGTGTGTATGTGTGTGCGCGCGTGTGTGTGTGTGCGCGTGTGTGTGTGTGTGCGCGTGCGCGCGTGTGTGTGCGCGCGTGCGTGTGTGTGCGCGCGTGTGTGTGCGCGTGTGCGTGTGCGTGCGTGTGTGCGTGTGCGTGCGTGTGTGCGTGTGCGTGTGCGCGCGTGTGTGTGTACGCGTGTGCGTGTGTGTGCGCGTGTGTGTGCGCGTGTGTGTGCGTGTGTGTGCGCGTGTGCGTGCGCGTGTGTGTGCGTGTGTGTGCGCGTGTGCGTGCGTGTGTGTGCGTGCGTGTGTGTGCATGTGTGTGCGCGTGTGTGCACGTGTGTGTGTGTGCGCGTGTGCGCGCGTGTGTGTGTGTGTGCGCGTGCGCGCGTGTGTGTGTGTGCGCGCGTGTGTGTGCGTGTGTGTGTGCGTGTGTGTGCGTGTGTGTGTGTACGCACGTGCGTGTGTGTGCGCGTGTGTGTGCGCGTGTGTGTGCGCGTGTGTGCGTGCGCGTGTGTGCGTGCGTGTGTGTGCGTGCGTGTGTGTGTGCGCATGTGTGTGCGCGTGTGTGCACGTGTGTGTGTGTGCGCGTGCGCGCGTGTGTGTGTGTGCGCGCGTGTGTGTGCGTGTGTGTGTGCGTGTGTGTGCGTGTGTGTGTGTACGCACGTGCGTGTGTGTGCGCGTGTGTGTGCGCGTGTGTGTGCGCGTGTGTGCGTGCGCGTGTGTGCGTGCGTGTGTGTGCGTGCGTGTGTGTGTGCGCATGTGTGTGCGCGTGTGTGCACGTGTGTGTGTGTGTGTGTGCGCGCGTGTGTGCGCAAGTGTGCGTGCGTGTGTGCGTGCGGCACAGACCACTTCCTGTTCTGTGAGATCCTGATGCAGCGACCGATCGACATGAGCTCGCGGAGTTTCCGGCTGGCGCATGCCCTGACGGCACCGGAGCAGCGCTACATGCAGGAGATGGCGAGGGAGCGCTTCGACCGCATCATGGAGGTGAGCAGCGGCCTCCGTTTAGTTGCTGGTCCTCCAGCATTCGAGACCCTAAAGCATCGTCGCACGCCCTTCTGGCTTTGACGTTCCTCCTCTCTGAAGACGACGGTGGTGGAACCATCACCAGCATCAGAACATCAGTTAGCACGGTTGCCTACGAACGGTGTGAAAGAAGTTCCACATTAGTACATGCAGCACTAAACAAAATCTACGTACAACAGCAGGCCGATGCGCACTACATCTCCTTGCACGGACAGAAAATTAGAGACACGGGCCACGGTAGTGCAGTTGTGGCCATGCAACCCAAACTATGGACCACGGAGTAAATGCAGCCTTGAACATATACTTAGAGATACACAGGAGACCGGGAGAGAAAGGTAAACATATAATTAAAAACACGAGCAAAATTAGTGTGATATTGTTGCCATGCAACCCAAACTATGGACTGTATAATGAACCAATCGAGACCCATAGAGATACACAGACACATAGAAATACGTAAAAAACAAGCCATGCACAGAAGTGTGACTCTAGTCACGTAAACCGAACTGTGAGCTACATCGTACACCACTGCGGTCTGTGCGCCTTCAACGGAGGAGGAGGAACAGCGACACGACACAAACTCTCTCTGCTAAGGCCCTCTCAGCGTGGCCAGAAGCAGCAGCAGCAGCAGACCTCGACATTGGCATCGAGCTCATGAACTTACTGCTGCTGCCATCAACATGATGCGCAAGAATGGCATTTGTTAACTTTTTGGACTGAATGGAATGTTTGTTTCGGAAGAAAAACTGAAGGTGCCTCGAGTATCGGAGTGCTGGAAGTCTTAGTATCGGGAACAGTGCCATGGAGTCTTTACTGCTGCTCAGGGTTGCAGTACGAAAGAAGTTCACATACATGCACAGCAAAAACTCTCTTATCCGGCACTTTAGCACCCGAAATGCTTGTTACGTGAGTATTATACCCGGGACGGTGGAGACACTCGCCAGGTGGCTCTGCGGGAGGGTGAGCGGCTCGCAGTCGGAAGGTCGCGGGGTTCAAATCCTGGTTGGGGGTTGACTCGGCCCACCATCCCTTCCGGGGTCGACAAAATAAAGCACCACTTTGTGTGGAAGTTAAACAAGTGGTTGTCCAATGGATAGACCCATCGCTTGCCATAGACACGAGGAGATTGCACCGCTGGCTCTTGCAGGGCTATAACAGAGGTCGCAATCGGGTACCCGATACCCGTAGCCTACCCGATACCCGGCCGGGTACGGGTAGCGGGGTATCGGGTAGGTTACGGGTACCCGATTGCGACCCTGGTGCGGCCGGGTCCGGGTAAGGAATCAAAACCCGTTTGCGACCTCTGGGCTATAATCACGACATGAGCACCAATGGCGCGGTTGAACGAGCGTCGCTCGGGACGTGTTGGCTCTGCGCAGGTGCTGAAGCAGTTGCCGCGGCCGATGCTGCTCGTGTTCCGAAACATAAACACGATCCGCTCCATCAACATCACGCTCGGCTCTCCCGTCGACCGCTACACCCTCATGGCTCGCAGGTGAGGCCGCGGGCGACCGTGGATCCCCCGTGACGAGCGCGGTTTGGCTACGTACGGTGCGAATGAAATTGGGCGCACACACACACATACAGTGGACGCCGCGTCTCCCGTCGCCGTTCTCCGCTTCGCTCGTCCCCCCGCCGCTCGGCCCGCGCGTCGTCTCCCGCTGTCTCCCGCTGCTCTCCCCGCGGGAGGAGTACAGAGTGAGCCAGACGGGAGATGCCGTAGCAGGGAGATGCATGGAGCGAGGGAAACGGACTCAGCAGCAGCAGCAGCACGATAGAGGCGTCAAGTTAAGAGACACGGTATCGGAGAGGGGGAGGGAGAGAGGAGGAGGATGGAAGATATGGATGACAGGAAGCACGTGTTTTTTTTATTGGCATGAAATGTGTTCCTTGATGCAACATTTTCCGAGCTCAGATTTTCCAACGAGATCTATTAGCTCTCTCTCTTTTGCCACGCAAGGTGCCACCGTACCCTACAGCAGTGAATCATTACTCGTCCGATCGTGCACACTACTCGCATGGCATATCCGCAGTGGGCTTCAATATCGGCGTGGCCTAGCAAGTTGAGGCAAATGAAAAACTGAGAATGGTGACTGCCACTTTTACCGGACATCTGTGAAAAAGAGCTGTGTAGCCCATCGGATTCCTCCAGTCTAAATGAGAGATTCTGATTTCGACGCTGAAAACACGTGCACGCGTTTGTGTCGCAGTGCGGTGCGCGGAGAGGTGGCGCTACAGAACCGGCACAAGGGGGGCCACAGAAGGGTGCCGATGGTGGCCTGCGCCCTGAGCCTCTGGGAGAAGATCAAGTTTGAATTCGCCCTCAGGTAAGGGCTCGGTCAACGTTAGACGTTGCACTCTCTTGCGGCGCATACTCAGCCCCCACTGGGTTGTGGCCGAAACGTCGTGAGAATTGTATTTTATTATGTTTTATTATTTCCCTTCTACGTGACTTTACCGAAAGAACCAAGAAGATTGGAGCCCTTGTTTTCTCAGTGGTGCCAGCAACTTGAGCTCGATGCCAAGTTTCCTCCCACTTTCAAATGAAGAGACACCCCCCCCGCGACGCCAATATGCAGCGACGTTTCCCCTGAGCACGTGGCTGCAGTTTTTTTTTCTGCAGCGGAATTGCGACCGTCGCCGTGTGCGTTGTGCGCAGGTCACAGACGTGGCGGATGAAGGCCGCCGCACGGATGCTCCGGCTGTTCGCCTGGCTGGGCCTCATGAGCTACGAGGGAGAAATCGTGGAGTACCTCGAAGCCTGATGCTGCAGCTGCGGAGAAAAGAACATCTTGGGCAGAGGCCAGGGCCTGTTCCAAGAGATGATGTGCTATAAAGGTGTGCCATGAAGAAGGACCCTTACCTGAAACGTTGCTGAATTTATATATCTTTATTTTCACTTTGAGGCCATACGATGTTGTTGACGAATGTGTTTAGTTTTTCACTTGTGGTTGTACACCGCAGCCAACGCAGCCACTATCACAGCTGCAGCAGATGATTCGTTTAATTCTCCCGGACGTGAAGGCCAAGGAGAAGCAACTTGGGTCACTCACGAGAACAAAGAAGCCTACTGTTTTGTGAGGAGCACGGGCAACTTGGGCAACTTTTGTGCGTGCGTGCGTACTTGTGTGTGCGTGGGTGCGTGCGTGTGCGTGCGTGTGTGGGTGCGTGCGTGGCTGGGTCATGTAGCCCGCATGCCCAGCCTCCGCATGCCTAAACAGCTTTTGTTCGGCCGGATCGAGGGGGCTAAACGGGCGCGGCAGGGGCTAGAGAAGAGATGGAGTGATGTGGTACAGGAGGACGTGGAGCTGAGTGGACTTGCCGATGACTGGTACCAGCGGTGTCAAGATCGGCCTCAGTGGAGGAGGCTCGTGAAGGACGCTACTGGGCAGTTGGAGGCAGTCGCCCTCCAACAACAACGGAGGGCGGAGGAGCGATGCTCACAACAACGAACGGAGCGCCGGGTGGCTAAAGCACAGCAAGTTGGTACAGTAGGGGGCACAGGTGGTGCATCAGCCAGTCATCTCAGTCATCTCAGTCAGTCGACCCGTGGCACCTGGGTCTGCCCCGTGACCTCCTGCCAGCGGGCGTTCGACACTTCACGTGGCCTCAAGGTGCACATGGCCTGGCACAAGCGTCGTGGTGACGTCACCGCCACTTAGTGGCGAATGACGGTTGTTGTTGTGTGGGTGCGTGTGGGTGCGTGCGTGTGCGTGCGTGTGTGGGTGCGTGCGTGCGTGTGTGCGTGCGTGCGTGCGTGCGAGCGATGTGGCCACTGCGGGAGGACTGCTTCGTGCTCACAGCGTCTCTCCGTGGCCGCTCTGCGAGTGGCGCGCAACTCGCTCCCCGGTGCGGCGAGCCGAGCACGACTCGTCGCAGCGACGTGCCGTCTGCGGACGCTCGCGAGCGCGCCGCTGCGCCATCGCAACCTTTCCGCGCGGCGTCGGCGAGACAAATAAAACGTCGCTGAAACTAAAATGCAGTCGTCGGGGAAAACTCGACGAGCGTAGCCGGAAAATAAACCTTGACGGCGGCGGCCGGCAGTGCGAGGAGTGAGGATTGTTTTTAACGCACGGGGAAAAAAATCGAGCAAGTGTCCGCACCGGCCTTTGAACATGGCCAAGTGTCGCGAGGCACGGAAGTAAGAGAGGCCTCCCCTCCCTCGGAGTTGACGTACGTACCATAGGTTGAACTTCTTTCGCACTGCACGTAGCCAACCATGCTTATCGGCTACGTGAGGAGGTCGGCACTGGAACGGAGAGGTGGAGGAGGGGTGGTGGACGGGGTCCGTGAGCAGCACTACGTTGATGACTAACTTGCCAACATGAGCACGCCGATCTTACAGTTGGGCTCCTTCCACGGAGCTCGGGGTACAAGTCGCGCGGCGCCGGGTTCTCGTCACAAGTCTGGCGGGGATTCTGAACCAATCCCAAATTTTAGCGGAGCAGTCGGAAGCCCGGAAAAATAGCAGTTTCGTAATCGTCCGACGGGGATGTGTTATGACGCGTAAACTGGGGATCTCGGGCGGCAAGAGGGGCGGCGTCTCGCGGCCGTGCGGAAGACACGCGGCTGGCGCCGGACACGCGGAGCGTGGGAGAATGTCCGGTGGTGTACAGAACGCTCCATGCTGTGCTGCACGGCGGGAGTGTCCGGTGGTTGTCGAGTGACGGCGTGACGGTGACGGTAGCGAGATTTTGAGGACCTTGCCTGGTATGCAGGAACTCGGGGATGTTCTCTCCCTGTGGTTGCGCGGATTTTTCTCGGGGTCCTCCGGTTTCTCGCCTCCACGTGTAGAATCAACGTGCGCTTTAGAGTATTTGGCTGCTATAAATGTCCACGTGCTGATGATAGGCCATCATCGGCACGTCGCCTAAAAAGGAGATCTATCGCACAGTGGGCCTTCTTGCCTGGGTGCCGTGGCGGTAGCGTCGCGGCCGAGTGGACGGGCCTCGTGCTGCCCCCAGTACGCATCGCCACGCGCCGAGTGAACTCCGCTGATATTCAAAACGATTCCTTTGCTCGTCACCGCCGCTTTCGTGTCTAGTTGCAGTTTACGAGATTCCGCTTGTGACCAAGGGTGAACGATTGTCGGTTGTATTGCACAAACGTAACGGTGTTTTCCTCTTATGCTTCGAGAGTATTTTTTTTGCTTCGCGAAAATCGTAAAACAAATCCAATGCGAAATAAAATTGGTGGCTTATGAGCACCGCACACTACACGGGTTGATGCGTCGCATTGCAAAAACGTGTGAACTGATGGAACGCTTTCTAGCAGCGTCCCCCGCTCAAGTGGTTCTCGTTAAACTTTCTCACACACGGGTCGATTCCACCAACGCGGAACACACGGCTATTGAAATGTCCTCTTACGTTACAATAAACTGGTGAGAATGAAACGCGGGGCTCGGTACGGACGATGGAAAGCCACGCGGTGGCGCAGAGCGGAGAGGCATTGCCACAAGCAGATCCGCCTCTGTGAACAAGGCCAACATTGGTGTCTTATTCAGAGGCCGAATTGAATGTTGTGCTACGCTGGGCCACTCCTATCTGATGTCAAGATGTAAAACTTTTTTTATTTGACCACGTAACATAGACATAAAGCACCCTGGACCACAAATGATAGCTCAACAAAGTGGCGTATCGCGTGGAAATGTAAAGCAGGCAAATACTCGTGACGTTCATTCTAAATGTGGAGGGGAAAACCGGAGTGTCCCGGAGACAAATCCACGCGACGACGGGGGAGAGAGAAACATGCCAACTCCAAATACACAGCGGGCGTCAGGGTCTGGCTCGAAGCCTTGACCTCCTGCATACCAGGCGAGGTCTTTAACATCTGACCTTTGGCCACTAATCTCAAAGCGTGCATCTACAGAGGCGCACGGAGCTGGTGGCTCCGCTGCACGTGGCTGCCTGTGGAGCAGCAGCGAGGGTTGGTGGGCGTCGTGGTGGTGCCATGCCGCGTCTCGCCAGCAGACGGCGGTACCGCATTAATGTGGACTCCACGTGTTGGCTGTATGCTGATAAGATCAGTGTTCTTCATTGCCAACCCCGCAGGCCACTGGCGGCTCCTGATGGCCTTTAGTGCGGCTCCCTGACGTGCGGCCCCCGACAATACATAACGTGTGAAAACAACACCCCTCAATCATTGTGCTGCTGTCAAAACCCCAACAATGGTTTCAAATGTGTGCCCCCCCCTCTCACTGATAACGTCTTATCGGCCACTGGGATCGAGTGTTGCCCCCTCCTTGCACGCGTGGGTTTTGTTCCTTCTGAGTGCTTCGGTGTCCGCCAGCATATAAACCGCAGAACACGGAGGTGCCAGGGGGGGGGGGGGGTAATTTGGATCCGGCTCACCGCCTGAATCTGCCTTTCCCGTGGTTCCTCCTCTCTCTCTCTGCACGAGAACGAGTGAACTGTGGCAGCGCGTGACACATTGAACATTGCATCATCGTTGTAGCGGTGGGGGTTGTGTTGGGAGGGACTCCCACTCACTGCGAGTGCCAATGGAATTTGGCCTGGCCGAAAGCGGATTTCATGTCACGGCGAGTGCCAAACTCGGCACTCACTCCAGACTCGTATTCGCAGCCCGTAAATAGCTGGAGCAGTCAGCGGGCAAGATGGCCCTGGGCCACCAATCGAAAACAGAAGGGGGTCCCCTCCTTCCCTCCCTGGGTCCGGTGTCTCGCTCCCGACACGGGCTCCTGTTCGTCGACAAAGCCGCTGCACTGCCACGCTCCGCACGTGACCTCTCTGGCCCCGTTCTGATTGGCTGCGAGGGAGTCGGGGGGGGGGTGATCCCTTGCCCTGGCAATGACCGTGAACACCGCATTCTGATGGACCCGTGCATCATTCACACGCCTCCTTCCACATCATCATCAGCATCCTCGCCATCACCCTTGCTACTGATCGTCTCGATCATCATCTTCCTTTCGACCCCTTTTGCACGCCCTTCGGTTACAACACAGGGGACGTATCGTTTGCCAGAGTGTGCAGGGTGACCCATGGAGAGAGGTTGGTTCGGTGTCAATCGGCTCCTCTTGTACGACGGGAGACGCTTTTGTGTGACAGGGACGTCCGGTTTGGGGGGAGCCGCTCGATAGCGTCGAGTGGAGAAATGACATCCCCGATCCTAGCAGTTGACAACGAAGGGTGACACCTTAGGGATGAAGACGTAGACATCTAAGCTTGGCACGAATCAAGTGAAGATGTCCATACGGCGTCGAGATGTCTGCGAGCGAGTTTGTGGAGAGCGGGCGGCGAGGAGGCTTCCCGTAAAGGCAACGAAGATTGTATCGGGGCAGAGAAGCTCGCCTGGTGGAGTGAGGCTGTCGGAGAAACTGGTTGCGGCTTGACTGCTGCTCGGGACTGGTAGCTGTTGGTCAGTCGCAGCTGGGCGAACAGAGACAGGGGGGGCAGGCGACAGGACGACGGATGGTGGAGGCTCCTGCGGCTGCTGATGCCATCCCAGCTGGGGGCGGGGGGGGGGCCGTGTCAGTCGCCTGGTGGGTGACCTGGTGACGCGTGACGGCACGAGGTTGTCACTTGTTTGCCGCGTGCGAATGTTGTGACCATAAACCTGCTCTCGGCGCCTGTGTTGGTCGCCCCGTTGCTAGGGAAGCGAGAGTTTTAGTGCGGACGGGCACCGCGGGAGGCGGCGGCGGTCTCATCAGAGGGGAAGACGCTTCGCGTTCAAGGGTTCGGGCTGTGCACGGTGCCAGGGTAGGTGCGTCTAGCCGAGGGCAGTGCGCGTGTGTGAACACGGTCGTTGCATGGGGGGCGGTGGCGTTGTGGTTAGCGCACTGCGCCACGAAGCAAACCCGTCGACCACAGTTCGATTTCCCACTCTCAGCCAGCTTTTGTGACTAATATCTAAACCCCATCCTGGGCCTCCCCTAGGTCGACTCAGTCTGAAATGAATACCTGGTGCGGTGTAAGAAAGCTGTCTCTGGTGTGGACCAATCCGTTTCAAAGTCAATGCATATATTATCAGATGATTATTTTTGTTTGCATTCTAACCACAAGCATTGTGGTTATAATGTAGACATGATTCCTTGTAAAAGGTTTCAGTTTCGTTTTTTAACATCTTAACACCTGTTGTGTTGCCAGATGAAAGGGGAAACCCCTATTATCATCGGTGTATAAACATCAGCATTGGGGAGACAAAGGCGGCCGGGCGTGGTGTTGGCCACCCATCCCCTCGTGTGCCCGTGTCGGCCTTGACAGGCGCTAATCGCTAAAAACACTTGCCCCGACAGTCTGTTAGGGCTACCCGGGGGATCTTTGTGTTTACAAAAACGGGCAGAATCAGGGTCTTTATTTATCCTGGACGAATCCGATGAGCTATGAAGCTCTTTATCACAACGAGCGATACGCGAGTGCAGATGATAGGAATTGCGTGCAAGTGACTAAAAATAAAGTGCATGAGTACAAGTTGATAAAGTACACCAAATCCTGCCGATTTTTCCCCCGATTCGCACGGTTGGCTTACGGATGTGCGAAACAAGTTCGACATACAGTGCACACACAAGCTTGGGCAAGGCAGTAATGTCGTCTGAAGGGCAGACTCGGCAGACCTGTGCGATCTCGTCAGCTGGCACCAGAACCGTCCTTAGCGGGGGGTGCGGGGCCCGGGGCAAACCCCCACAGCGTGGGCCCCCCGACGCCTTCATACCTACACCGTGACGTCGAGGCGCGCCACCCCCCCCCCCCCCCCCCCCCCACAAAAAATCGCGGGGCCCGGGGCTGCCGCCCAGATTCACCGTTACTATAAGGACGGTTCTGCCTGTTACCGACATGAACATAAACATGGGCGCGTGGCGCGCATTGAACATGGGGCCTTGTTAATACCTGGACTGCAACTCAACTGAAATATCGTCTGCATTGCCGCGGAAGTCCGCTGCTGCTGCTGCCGCTGCTGCCGCTGCTCCTGCTGCCGCTGCTCCTACTCCTGCTGCTGCTCCTGCTGGTGCTGCTGCTCCTGCTGCTGCTGCTGCTCCTGCTGCTGCTCCTGCTGCTGTTGCTCCTGCTCCTGCTGCTGCTGCTGCTCCTGCTCCTGCTGCTGCTGCTGCTCCTGCTGCTCCTGCTGCTGCTGCTCCTGCTGCTGCTGCTCCTGCTGCTGCTCCTGCTGCTGCTGCTCCTGCTGCTCCTGCTGCTCCTGCTCCTGCTCCTGCTGCTGCTGCTGCTCCTGCTCCTGCTGCTGCTGCTGCTGCTGCTGCTCCTGCTGCTCCTGCTGCTGCTGCTCCTGCTGCTGCTGCTCCTGCTGCTGCTCCTGCTGCTGCTCCTGCTGCTGCTGCGGTGGTGAGGATGGCGGTGTAAATCTCATTGACTCTTGGCGCTGCCGAGCGAGCGCCTTGAGGCCCCTGTGGGCTCTGCGTGGGGGGCACGGCCTGCCAGGGCGACGCGTGCGGCGGCCTGGCCTCAGCAAGCTGCAGAGAGACTCGCGGTCGTGGGGGGGGGGGGGGGGGGCACTTGGCACTGGTGTTGGAGAGCGAGCAAGTCAAAGGTAGTTTTGTTTACCAAGGAGAGACCGAGACGAGTCTCCATGGGGCATTTATTGCCGTAATCAAAATGATGCTAAAACGATGAGAGACTTTCACCCTGCCCTTTCTGGCAATATTGCACAGGAGGTGTTAAGATGTTTACAGCAAGGCCGTAGCCATGGAGTCAACATTGGGGGGGGACCAAATCTTCCAGGGGGTCTGGGGGTCCCAACCCAGAAAAATATCTAAATTTGAAAACTCATTTCCTGCCTTAAATATAAAAAATTCACTTACACATGAGATGGACTTTTCATTTATGTTTTACAATAATGTTTAATAGTGTATTGTATTACATTGCTCTGTTTTTACTTTTTACCATTGTATGCAATGGCAGAGATTAGGTATTAATAAAGTATAACCACAATCATATGAACATAAATCTATGCATTGATTTATATGAAGACACGTCCAGATATTGTGGCCAAGGTTTAGCAACATTTCTTTTTTTACATAGCATAGTAATTATTTTTATAGCAATATATTGGGGGGGACATTTTGATCATATTTGAATATGGGGGGGATGCGTCCCCCCCCCAATATATATTATAATTACGGCCTTGGTTTACACCAAGTAGACACCCCCATCGCAAGGCATCGTCAAGTCTGCATGAACCACACATCATGCTTGTGGGTAGAACCATGCAAACACACAAACATGCTTTCGAATAATGCATGCGTTG